CCATGCTTGTATTAATGCAGATATGTATGTTACCTTTGAAAGTTTATGTATTTTCAGAATAAGGGGACCAGACACCAATGAAAATGGGTGGCCCAGGTGATCCAGTCTTTCAGAGTGCATCTGTTGCATTTTCCTCAGAGTTCCGCATTCAGAACAACATCAAGGCTGCTGCTAGCTAAGACGGTCCAGCTTCACAGGACTTCAGATAAGCTTTGTACTTTCCCATTACACAGAGACTGGACAACAAATGTTATAGCTAGTTTTCTTAGGACTTGACTATCATCTCAGTTTTCTCAGGGGCCTCTGGGGATGCCATCACCCCCAGACAACAGGAAGCAGTCTAGCGAACACAACGCCCACATTCCCAAGAGGTGGGGTGGGTGGTTTTTGGTCATTTGGTGGGTTATGGATGTTTGTCTTTATTTAATGGAGATATAGGAATATAGGATAAAAAGACAACTATTCATCTCAAATATTTTACATTGGTATGGATTTTTGTATGTTGATACCAATTTAATGTTATTTTTGCTAGAACATACTGTATATACATTTCTACTTTTTTTTTTTTTTTTTTTTTGGTTTTTCGAGACAGGGTTTCTCTGTGTCGTTTTGGTGCCTGTACTGGATCTCACTCTGTAGACCAGGCTGGCCTCGAACTCACAGAGATCCGCCTGGCTCTGCCTCCCGAGTGCTACATTTCTACTCTTGTTTAAGGTATTGTACCTATGCAGCTCATTTAACAATGTAATGTAAATTTCTAATCCTTGAAAGTTACTATTACACACTATTTAGGATAATAAAGAAATACAGGTTAGTAGATAGTCACCTGTAAAAATCAAACTTGTCATTATGTTAGGTATGTTTTCAAGGTTAAACAGCTATTTTAGATACATAGGTGATCTTCTAATGCTTCAGAGACCTACAGAGTATGGCATTTAAGATGCTTACTAACCTAAGGCTTTTCATGACAGACAAATCTGTTCCTGGCAGCACCAATCTACTTCATAAAAGGATGATGGGTGTTGAAGAACCTCCATATGGCATTTGCTTTCATTGTGGCAAAACTAGCCATTTGGGCAAGAAACTGCCCTTGCCTTGACTGCTGACAGTATGCTGTACAAATTGGACATGCAGGACACAAAGGAAAAGGACTGCTGAACTTTGCCAAGACAAGATGGGACAGTCCTTCAAAATTCCTGTTTTACAGAAAGGTCTGTCAGATATTCTAGGCCTATAGGCTGAAGGTGAATGCCCCAATGGTGCAGAGGAACCATGGGTGACTGTCCAGGCAACCAAATGCTTCTGCATTTCTACAGTTTTGAAAGTTGTGTGCTCTGTAATTCCTGTTTACTTAGGTAATATTATATCCTTCGTGGGTCCCTGATGGAGCTGAAGACTAGATAGTTACAGATTTCCTTGTTACCAAATTCAGAAAATAAACATAAGAGATGTAAAGTTTATAAGGTTGAGAAACAAAAAAGTTTAAAGTGTTTATCTAAGAAAATGTTTTGAGGTCTAAAAAGATAGTTTTGGGTTGGTAACAGAAGTTATGATAAAAAAGTAAATTAGGTACATGACTTTGGATTCACCAAGATAGAATAGAGAATGGAGTATTTTTTCTGAATTTGCCGAATGCAAATAGACTGAATATTGTAAATGTAATTCTTACTTGATAATTGCTCTTATTGTATATAGTATTATTATGTTAAAGATAAAACCTTTCTTTTTTATTTAGACAAAAAGGGGGAATGTTGCTGCATATTTGTTTAACTATGTAAAGAAATGTTACATTTGTATAACTATGTAAAGATGTGTTGCTATTTTACCTTGCCTGCCTAAGGCATCTGATTGGTCTAATAAAAAGCTGAATGGCCAATAAAGGAGGACATATAGGTGGAACTCCCAGGCAGGGAGAATAAGGAGGAGGAGGAATTTAGGCTCAAGGAAGAAAGAAAAAGAGGTAACAGAGGGACACCAGGGGTCAGCCAGCCAGACACAGAGAAAGCAGGAAAATAGGACATACAGAATGAAAGAAAGGTTAAAAAGCCACTGAGGCAAAGTGTAGATTAATAGAAACTTGTTAAATTAAGTTAAAAGAACTAGTGGGACAAGCATTCAGAATTAATAATAAATCTCCGTGTCTTTATTCGGTTGGAGGCCCAAAGAAAATTCCAACTACAACTTCTTATTCTCATTAAGTTGAGAGTCTGGTTATGCATCATCCAAAGGCTTCCATTCCCTAAGCCATCTCACTAGCCCAAGGGGAGCATTTTATGTCAAACAAAGATTTTATTTGAAAATCAGGCATGGTAGTGTACACCTTTAATCCCAGCACTTGGAATACAGAAGCAAAAGGATCTCTGTGAGTTCCAGGCCAGCCTGGTCCACATAGCAAGTTCCAGGCCAGCCAGAGTTGCACTGTGATACTCTGTCTCAATTAATTAATTAATTGGTTAATTAATTAACTAAAAGATTTTATTTGAAAATGTTAGGCTTGGGACAAATCAGGCCATGCTAACTGGCAGAACCTCTTTCTCCAACCTCACAGCTGCTGTAAAAGAAATGACATTCAACTGCCAGGCGGTGGTAGCGCACGCCTTTAATCCCAGCACTCGGGAGGCAGAGCTAGGCAGATCTCTGTGAGTTCGAGGCCAGCCTGGGCTACCAAGTGAGTTCCAGGAAAAAGAAAAAGAAAAGAAATGAAATGACATGCACCATCCTGTGATCCTCACTTCCCCTAAGGAAGTGTACCAAGTGTCTAGCAATCAGTGGTTGCAGGTGGCACACCTCATATGATGGACACACATTAGCTAAAGAGCCAAATCTTTTCCTCCTTCCCTTGCAACTGAGTTATAGGTGGTTGTGAGCCTACAGACATGGCTACTGGAAAATGACCTCCTGTCCTCTGGAATCGCAGCAGCACGTGCTCTTTACCATCACGCCATCCCTCCAGCCTCAAGCATATACTATTGACTATTCATTAATTACATGGAATGGGATTACCTGCCCCAACTGAAACTGGTAAAATGGGACACCACCCCTCACTCCTGTTAGTCTCCGTGGCCTGGAATATGTGAACTCCCATCACAATTACTGTGGCATTGACAATGCTTCTAATAAACCGTTTACCCCAAACCACAATCTGCCTCAGTGTTCCTCTTGAACACCAAATGTGAGATGTTATAGGAAGCTCATTATAAATATGTATGTTAGTAAAGTAATTAATCATTATTTTTTTGAGACAAAGTTTTATTCTGCAATCTAGGCTGGCCTCAAACTCTTGGCTGTTCTCAGATTTCAGCCTCTAAAGCACTGGGATTAGAGATGTGTACCCCCAGGCCAGGTTCATAAGTACAAAATCATTATTTATGTGAGACTTCTCACATAGCCCAGGCTGGCTTTGAACTCCATCTGTACTGAAGAATGATCTTGAATTCCTGATCTTCGTGTAGCCGCCTCCCAAATGCTGGGAATGAGTCCTGTGTCATCTTGTCTGATTTGTGCAGTGATGAGGATGGAACCCAGGGTTTCAGCCAGGTTAGGCAAGCATTCTAAAAACAAAGGTAAGGGTTGGCGAGGTGGATTAGCAGTTAAAAGCACTGACTGCTATACCAGAGGATCGGGTTCCATTCCCAGTAATCATATCGTCGATCACAACCGTCTGTAACTGCTGTTCTAGAAGATGTGTTGACCTCATCTGACCTACACCTGCATCAGGTGGAGGTATGCACAAATACAAGCAGGGAAAACTTGCAAAAAAAATCTTTTAAAAAACTGAGCTAGGGGCTGGAGAGAATGCTCAGCGGTTAAGAGCACTGGCTACACTGGGCAGTGGTGGTGCACGCCTTTAATCCCAGCACTTGGAACTCGGAGGCAGGCGGATCTCTGTGAGTTCAAGGCCAGCCTGGTCTACACAGCGAGATCCAGGACAGGCACCAAAACTACACAGAGAAACCCTGTCTCAAAAGAAGGAGAAGGAGGAGGACAAAAAGGAGGAGGAGGCCGGGCGGTGGTGGCGCACGCCTTTAATCCCAGCACTCGGGAGGCAGAGCCAGGCGGATCTCTGTGAGTTCGAGGCCAGCCTGGGCTACCAAGTGAGTTCCAGGAAAGGCACAAAGCTACACAGAGAAACCCTGTCTCGAAAAAACCAAAAAAAAAAAAAAAAAAAATCTGAGCTAAACCTTCAGCCCCATGGTGCACATTTTTTAAATTTATTTTTATTTTATGTGCATTGTTATTTTGCCTATATGTATGTCTGTTTGAGAGTGTCAGATCTTGGGGTTACAGACAGTTGCTAACTGCCATGTGGGTGCTGAGAATTGAACCCAGGTCGTCTGGAAGAGTAGCCAGTGCTCTTAACCACTGAGCCATTTCTCCAGCCGCCCCCCCCCCCGCTTTTTTTTTTTTTTTTGTTGGTGTTTTGGTTTTGGTTTTTTTCGAGACAGGGTTTCTCTGTGTAGCTTTGGCGCCTTTCCTGGAACTCACTCTGTAGCCCAGGCTGGCCTGGAACTCACAGAGATCCGCCTGCCTCTGCCTCCCGAGTGCTGGGATTAAAGGTCTGCGCCACCACCTCAGCATGGTGCACATTTATATTAACGGATCTTCAAGTTTCTTATATTTGCAGTGGAGGTTTAGGTGATGGTGTTGACTGGTCCACCGGAATTTATGCCCTGAATTCCCAGGGCCTCCAGCTCATCGTCCCTTCCCGACCTGGCCAGCAGGTGGCGCGGTCTGGAGCACTTGTTTTTCCTGCACACCAGTCTTCTTTGAGTCAGCGAACCATCGAGAGATGAAGACCTCCCATTTTCCTAGAGAAAGCAAGCGGGCGTTTGGCTCACGGAGATTGTAGTGGGTGGCGAAGAAGGACGACCCGGAAACGACATGGGCAGGGGGAACTTCCGTTCTTTGTTCTGTTCTCGGTTGTGTGGGTCTGTGATAGGGTCCAAGAGGGCCTGGTTCGTGTCCGGCCCCCTAATTACGTCCCTGTCCCCAGGGTGAGTGGGGCCGTCTTCGGGACTCGCGGTGAGGCGGAAGTGTGGTCGCCGGGGAAGGGGGTTGGTGTTCACGCCTCTGCGGCCCGCGGGGTCCCCGGGCCCGGCTCCGCGGGGTCCTGGGTCCTCCTTGTCCCTGCGGCCGCTGCCCAGCTCCGCAACCCCGGCTCGGCGGGTTCCTGCGTGTCGCGGATTGGGACTCCGGATCTGCTCTTGTGTCCTCCACCGCCAGCCCCAGTGTTTGAAATTTCCAGCGTCGCTGCCGAGGTCCCTTTCTTTAAAACCGCTGATGACAGACAGCCAGCCAGCCTAACTTGGTACTCTCAGTGCACCGTTTTCTGTGCTGGGGGCAGGAGAAGGAAGTTTGTTTTTCCTTAATTGGATCGGAGAGTGAGAGTAGTTCTGTGTCATAGTGAGAACTAGGGCTTGGGAGGAGATGCGAACTCGGGTCCTCAGAAAGATCCTGCGGGGACCTCACCAAAGACCTAATGTCCTATAGATATGTTTTAGTTTACTGCCGGATACCCTTTCCTGGCGAAGCTGTACAATGCTGGCGCAGACTCCCTGCAGAAAGTGGCTGAGTGTCCAGCTGACTAAGACACTAAGAACCTAGATTGACACAGAGAACCTTCAGTTCATATCAGCTCTCTAGGGTGCAATGAAATGACAATGGTGTTCGTTGGTAGTTATTAGAGTATACCCCTTTCCCCTCCATACTTCTTAAGCATCTATATTAGAAGTAAGTTTCACGTGAGTTTTTCCATTTTACTCCCTTAATCATACAGCACTGGTATCACCTAAAGAGTGGTTCTCAACCTTCCTAATGCTGCAACCCTTTATACAGTTCCTCATGTTAGAGTGACCCCCCAACCATAGTTATTTTTGTTGCTACTTCATAACTAATTTTTCTACTGTTATGAACTGTAATGTATATATGTTTTCTGATGGTCTTAGGCGACCCCTGTGAAAGGGTCCTTCGACCCCACCCCCACCCCTAGTTGAGAAACACTAACTTAAAATGAATTTCCAGGAATTAGTCAAGCTTGCTGGCGCACATCTGTAATCCCAGCACAGATGCAAATGAAGCAGGAGTATGAATATAATTTCAAGGCCAACCTGTACTATACAGTGAATTCCAGCCTAGTCTGGGGTATACTGTGAGGTCTTACTCAATAAAGAAAGACAAAAAATAAATAAAATCCCAGGAACTGAACATACGATCCCAAATTTCTTACATCACTACTTTAATTTTAACAGGGGTTAACTCTGTAGAAGGAAGAAAGGATCCAGGAGGGAGGCTTCTCCTGACCTGTCCTCACTGTCATGTGGTCCTTCTTGGTCCCTTGGGCAGCTTGAGGGAGTGGAGTTGGCAACAGGGCCAGGGAAAGGCTCTGCCCATACCCAGATGGCAGAAGTACCATGCAGAGTTCCTATGAGAAACATTGTTTACTGACTCAAGACACTGGGGACTTGGACTTGTCCTCAACATTATGCCTTTGAGTTCCAGCTTCAGTTAACCCAGCCTTGAACGGGGACTATTGCCTTTCACTCTGTTATTTGTTTGTTGTTTTTTGAGACAGCATCTCTCAACAAAGCCCTGGCTGTCCTTGAACTCATTATGTAGACCAGGCTGGCCTTGAAGTCTTCCTTCCAAGTACTGGTATCAAAGGCATGGGTCACCATGCTCAGCTTGCCTTTTACTTTGGAGTCAGAGTGTGTGTGTGTGTGTGTGTGTGTGTGTTTCTTTGAGATAGGGACTGGGTTGGAACTCCTAATCCTGTCTCGGCCTCTCAGGTGCTTCAGGTCTGTGCCATGATGGACGAATTCCCACAACGCTACAGCTGGTTTGATACTAGAGTGCTAGCACCCAGCTTTGATCTGCCTTTTGTGATTGCTACCCCCTGTCTCCTTACCTTTTGTCTGAAGTCTTAACTGAGAGCTTCCCTAGGGGGATGGAAGCCTATGCAAACTTAGTAACAACAACCCAGTGGTGTTATTACTGAGAATTTGCATTTGGCATTATCCCTTTGGGGGGCTTAGATCAAAGACTTTGGTATACGGAATTGACTTGCTAAAGGTGTGATTTGTCTAACAAAAGGGCTCTTTGCTCAGCAAGGGCAGTTCAGTTCACCGTGAGAAATCCACCCTGCAGCTGGAAAAGGCTGAAATTCAGCCTTGAGGTGCCTCTACTTCTTTCCATGGACCTGCATGAACCTACACCCACTCCTGATATACAACTGTGCCACCCATGCCAAGTTGTTGATTACCCCCACCCCCTCCAACAGGGTTTCTCTGTAGCCCTGGCTGTCCTGGAACTTGCTCTGGAGACCATACCTGGCTCAGGGTCAGTCATCTCAGTTAGTGAATGATACCCACCTCATTACTGCACTTGTCACTAAAAATGTTGGGTGGGTGTGGCAAAATTGGAAATCTTTGTGTAGGCTCATTACAGAAGTGCCCACGTTCACAGGGATCTAATGGGTAGTCCTGTGTGTTTCTTCCCTTCCTGCATACTGAGATGCAATTCCCTTTATGAAATCAGGAGGCATTTTAAAAAATCAACTTTGATCTCTTTGCCTCGGCAGTGCTTCTTCAAAACCTGCTTGCTGCTGAGTCTACAGCTAAGAGATCAGCGACCAGAACATTTCACTCACCCATGGAAACTCAGGCTGACCTTGCAGCTCAGGAACCTCGGCCCCTGCTAGAGAGTGGTAAGATAATGGGATTGGGAGAGGAGGTTGTTCTCATCTTTTTCTGTTGTTTAACTTGCTTGTGTTTTTGTTTTCCTTTGAGGCAGGGCCTCACTTTGTTGCCATGGCTGACCAGAAACTCACTGTGTAACTAGGTTGGTCTGAACCTTGGAGAGATCCCCCTGCCTGTGCATCTTTAGTGCTGGGATAAAGGTGTGGGCCAGCACACTTGGTAGGCTTGTTTGTCTCTTGAGACAGGGTCTCATTGTGTAGCCCAGGCTGGCTTTAAATTTTCCATATTCTTGACTCGTGTCTGTAGTGTTGGGTTTAAACCGATACCTGCCTCATTCTTTCCTGTGTGTGTGTGTGTGTGTGTGTGTGTGTGTGTGTGTGTGTTGAGACAGGGTCTCACTGCAGCCCTAGATGTCCAAGGACTTCCTATGTAGACCAGGCTACCCTGGAACTCCCAGAGATCTACCTGCTTCTGCCCCTCAGGTGCTGGGACTAAAGGCATGTGGCACCGCACCCAAGCCAAAATAACTTTTATTGATTTTTTTTAATTAAATGTATTTATTTTGTGTGTTATGTATATAGACATGTATGGCACAATACACCAAAGTTTCTATGCAGAGGTCAGAGGGCAAGCTCTGGAGTTGATTCCTTCCTTCCACCATGTGAGTTGGGGGTAGGCATCAGCTCAAGCAGAGAGGCTTTGTCAAGGTGCCTTCACCCATTGAGCTATAGAACCTGCCCTGAACTCTCTTTTTGAAACGTTTTGTATTGCCATATAGTAATTAAATATGATATTGGGTTTCATTACATTTTCATACTTTTTTAAAAATATTAAAGAGCTGTGGGTTTGGAGAGATGGTTCAGTGGGTAAAAGCTCTTGTCTCGGAAGCATGAGGACATGTGTTTGAATCCCCAGAACCTACATTAAACCATATGCATAGTAAGAATGTCTGTAGTCCCAGTATTTCTATGGGGAGATGGGAGCTAGAGATGGGAGAATCCCCAGAAGCTCATAGGCCAGCTAGCATGGCATACATAGCAGAAAAACAACAAAGATACCCAGTCTCAAACAAGGAGGGAAGCAGGAACTGAAACCTGAGGCTGTCCTCTGACTTCCACATGTGCACTGTGGCATGTATGCACCCCCACTCACATGGGCATTCCTACACACAAATTCCCCAAACGTTAGAAAGTTGTGTGGGAGAAAGGACTTCTAGGGTACTTACTGGGTATGGAACCGAGGGCCATGTTATGTCTCAGATTGTCGCGGCAGGGTGTGTGATGGATCCTTGGAAAGAAGACTCAGAGGCACCTTAAGAATGAATCTAGTCTTTCTTGGCTGCAAGGGGGTCCTGCCCCGGAGGACTTTCCCTTCGCCCAGGGCATTTTTATTTTTTTTTTTTGTTTTTTTTGTTTTTTTTGTTTTTGTTTTTCGAGACAGGGTTTCTCTGTGTAGCTTTGCGCCTTTCCTGGAACTCGCTTTGGAGACCAGGCTGGCCTCGAACTCACAGAGATCCGCCTGGCTCTGCCTCCCGAGTGCTGGGATTAAAGGCGTGCGCCACCACCGCCCGGCTTATTTTCTATTTACAGTTTAGCCAGTTAATTTTCACATGCTCAAAGCAAACCTGAAAGGAGCTCCCAGAGATAAAATGCCAAGTGCAAATTCCTCGATTTCTCAGGTACCACAGTTTTCCCTGTTTCCTGAACCAAGTTTTGCATAGGCCTTTGATCCTTGGGAGACTCTCAAACAAGATTCACATAGGGTGATAAGAGAAACAAAAGGTGTGGGTTAAACAAAGGATGGATTAGGGCTAGGTGCTGCTCTCTGGAGCCGGGCCAGAGTAGCTCAGCAGGAATGCAGCCACACATACATTTGCTAGGAAAGCACTTAGCACTGAGCTAAGAGCTGCAGGTTTCAGCCATAATGGCTATTTTCCCCATGCTTACTAGGAAAAAGCATTTAAAATCTGTTTTGTCAAATCTAGTTATGCATAGTGGGTTAGACCCTGAGAGACAAACACAAAACTTATGGCTGATGGGGAAAGGTATGTGGTCCACAGCAGAGCTAGGAAACATTTCTGTCATATTGATATAGATTTGGTCTTTGGATGGAAAAAGAGAAGAGGTGTGGGTTTTGTGTTTTCGGTCGGGGCTTGAGGGAAGCTGCTCATTTCCCTCTGCCTATGAATCTCCTACAAGAATTTGCAGTATTGGAAGGAAAATGAGAATGTAACTGGTCCCCGGCCTCACTTGAAGAACAGGCATGAATGGTCAGGAGTATGGCATTCATGGAAGCAGAGACAGGGTGGGTTTTTGAGGCATATGACCTTAGGTCAGAAAGCAGGCAGATTGATTCCTGGCCCTGGTATTGTCCTTCAGCTCTTTCCTCTTCAAAAGTCCCTTCCTTTCCTGACAAGGACAGCCTGGGGCACGAGATGTTGGCTGCTGCACTTCTGAAGGCCAAGTCCCAGGTAAGCCATGGTTCCCTTCATTCTTTTCCTTCTCGTTTTGTAGAGTGATGTATCATTTAGCGCCCTAAACTCTTAATTCTGTCCATCAAAACCATGGTTCTGTGGCCAGTGGGTACAGTGGGTAAAGGTGTTTGCTCCCAATGCCTTTAATCTCAGCACTCAGGAGGCAGAGGCAGGTCGATCTCTGTGAGTTCAAGGCCAGCCTGGTCTACAGAGCGAGATCCAGGACAGCCAGGACTACACAGAGAAAACCTGTCTTGAAAAACAAAAACAAACGAAAATGGTGTTTGCTGCCAACCCTGCCAACTGGATATAATCCCTGGGATCTGTATGTTACAAGGAGAGAACTGACTGTCACAAATTGTCCTCTGACCTCCATATGTGTGCAGTGGTACCCCTCCCCAAATAAATAAATGTTAATTAAAAAATCATTTCCATTATGGACTCTTAGAAGGCAGTTACGCTCATCCCTATGCCACCTATGCTGTTTTGGATGCTCATGCTGGTATTGCTCTGACCTCTGCCCTCATCCCAAAGAGCTCAGCCCCATCCTGGTTGCTGTGTGATGCTGCCAGTCCTGACCCTTGCCCTGAAATTGCATATATGGCCGTATGACTGTTTCAGGAGTTGGTAACATTTGAGGATGTAGCTGTGTACTTCATCTGGAAAGAGTGGAAGCGTCTGGAACCTGCACAGAGGAACCTCTACAGGGATGTGATGCTGGAGAACTATGGGAATGTGTTCTCACTGGGTAAGGGCTTGTACCTTCTCAACAGAGCATGCTATTTTTTCTAGGCTTCAGGGTTTGCTATTGGCAATGTAGTCTTAGAAAACTCTAATACTGGTGCTGGAGAGATGGCACTTTCTGCTCTTGCAGAAGACCTAAGTTCAGTTTCCCATTTCTCACATGGAGGCTCTCGATTGTAACTCCATTTTAAGGGATCTGCATCAGACACACACAGTACATCCATGCATGCAGACAATCATACACATTAACAATAAATAAATTAAAAAAGAAAACTAATAACAGTAAGAATGACAACTCACATTTATAGGGTAATTTGCTGCTTATAAGGAGATTTCACATATATCCTTGCATTTAATTCTCACAGTAACTCCACAGTTGAGGTGGTTAGTATTATCTTCATTTTATAGGTTTGGAACGTGAGGTTAAGAAACACAAAATCAGGGCTGGAGAGGCAGCTCAGTGCTTAAGAGCACTGGCTGCTCTTCCAGAGGACCTGTGTTCTATTTCTGTACCCACACGGCAGCTCGCAACCTTCTGTAGTCCCAGTTCCTGGGAATCTGACACCCTCTTCTAGCCTCCACAGATACCAGGCATGCATGTGATACACATACATGTAGACAACCACTCATATATGGAAAACAAACAAAAAGACCCTTAGAAGCCAGTTGGGCATGGTGGCATATACCTGTAATCTCATCACTTGAGAAGTAGAGGCAGGTGGACCAGCTGTGACATGTTCACTATGGATTTGAGACCACCCTGGGCTGCGTGAGACCCTGCCTCAAACAAACAAGCAAACACACAATGAACTTAGACACTTTTTGCATGGTAGTAGAACTTGTGAATGACAAAGTTTGAGCTCCAGTGTTTTTTCCTGTTATTTATATCTTTGGATTTATTTGTCTGTCTGTCTGGACTTATTTATCTATCCATCTGTCCGTCCATCCATCCATCCATCCATCCATCCATCCATCCACCCATCCACCTATCTACCTGTCTGTCTATTTGAGACAGGGTTTCACACTGCAGCCTAGGCCGACCTGGAACTCATTAAATAGCCCAGGATGGCATTAAACTGTATAATCCTCACACTTCATGTACTGTAGTGCTGGGGTATAGGTGTGAGCCACCACATCTGGCTGACCCCCTCCCTATTAACACCAAACCTGGTACTTTAGCCATCTATTTCCAGGACTTAATGTATCACTCAGAGACTTTTCTAATGGATTCGGATGTTGGGATTCCTGAACATGGAAGGTGGTGCTCTGTGTCTGAGGGAACATTCTAGAGCTCTCTGTTCTTCCTTTTTCTGTTCGATTACTCCAAGGACCTACTGTTTTGTTCAGGAGCTTCTGTACCTCTTATAGAAATGTATGTTCTGAGGCTGGAGAGATGGCTCAGGAGTTAAGAGCACGGCTGCTCTTTCAGAGGACTACAACTCAGGTCCTAACGGCCACAGCAGGGGGCTCCAAAGCTACCTGTAACCCCAATTTTAGGGGGTGGTGTGGGGCTGATTTGCCCTCTTCTGGTCTCCAGAAACACCTACACACATGTGGACACACACACACAATTTTTAAAAGAAATGTATTGCTAGGCATGGTATTATACACCTTTAATTCCAGCATCTGGGAAGCAGAAGCTAGGAGACCTCTGTGAGTTCAAGGCCAGCCAGGTCTACATAGTGAGTTCCAGGACAGCTAGCCAGGGCTACATATTGAGACCCTGTCTCTGAATAAATAAATAAATAAACAAACAAACAAATAAAATCAATTCCTTGTTTTAAGTAGAAATTACCTCCTTAACACTTAGTTACTCATCTCTTACCTCACTTTCAGTTAGAACATTTTTTCCGAGCAGTACCAGGGCATCTTCCTAACTGCCGGTTGAGATGTCCCTATGCATTTCCTTTTGTCCCCTGAAGACCTGGGGTCTAGGTTTGTGCTCTGGGAACACTTAGTATGGCCATGTCTCTCCCTATGAGCGGGTTCTTCTTTTGAGTCCTGTGACAGTCTCTTGGCTGGAATGAGAATTGAGGCATCTGAGAAGAGAGAAGGCTTGAGAGGGGTCTGTCCAAGTGAGTCCTTGCCCTGTCTACTTTAAAAAATACTGACAAACTAAAAATACTACCTGGACCCAGTGGAACCATCCTCCGTGCCTAGAGTTCCCTGTAGGAACAATGTATATAGTGAAAATGAGAAGCCAGACATGGAGATTATTTATATAGTCTGCAACATAATGTCGCCTTCCTGGTCTACAGCCCAGAGCTGGCCTAAAACTTTTGTCTTTGCTGGTGGCATACGTGGTTGGACTACACAGGTTAGTTCTCCCCTGGGGGTTCTTAGTGTCTGTCCTCTGCTCCTTCTTGCTCTACTGTTTTTCATCTCTTTACCTGCCTCTCTCTTCAGCAGTCTGTTAAGTTCCTTACATATTTGCTCCACCTATCAGGCTTCCCCTTTTTTGGACTGTGTCTCCCTATGTAGCCCAGGCTGGCCTCAAACTCATGGTCTTCCAGCCTACTGTGTGCTACAATTAATAGACACATATCACCCCTTTCAACTTTCTGTCATTCTTTTTTGTTGTTGTTGTTGTTGTTTTTTTTTTGTGACAGGGTTTCTCTGTGTAGCTTTGGAGCCTGGTTGGCCTTGAACTCACGGAGATCCTCCTGCCTCTGCCTCCAGAGTGCTGGTATTAAAGGCGTGTGCCATCACCGCCCGGCTTTCCTGTCATTCTTAAACTTGCTACTTCACCCATTGTCCTTTTCTTCTCACCGTCTTCCCAGCCACAGCTACAGCCTCTGACCTGCCTGAAAACTTTGGCGCTTCATTAAGTAACAAGTCTTTCTTACCTAGACTTGTTCTGTTTTAAAGATTTGTTTACCTTATTCTTTTATGTGTGTGAGTGTTTTGCCTGCATGTATGTGTGCACCACATGTGTTCCTGGTGCCTCTGAAGGTCAGAGGAGAGCACTGGATCTCCTGGGACTACAGTTACAGACAGTTGGGAGGTGCCATGTGGGCCTGCGAATCACACCCGTGTCCTCTGCAAGCACAACAAGTACTCTTAACCTCTGAGCCAGCTCTTCAACCTCCCTTACCTGGTTTTTGTTCCCAACAAAGCAGGCCATCTCCTCCCATCCCCAGCACATCGCTGACTTCCTCTCGGTTCGCACCTTTTCTCCCCAGCTTTCTCCCTGTTCCTTCTCTGTTTCTTTAGCCCACTTGTCTTACTTTGCTTTAGTTCTACATAAAGGTTGGAAGGCCTCTCTTCAGGCCAGCAAAGGGACATGTGCTTTTGGCACTATAAATGTCAGACACATGATTATTTTGTTCTCTGACTTTTATTCTTTTCCTCACAAATAACATATGACACTTGCATTTTTTATTGTGCTAGATGGTGAGTCCAAAACTGGAAATGACCAAGTACTCTCCGAAGGCCTGGGGTCACGTGAGGTGATACTGGGACGATTGCAAACGGATGTTTCTCAGGGTCTTAAGTTTGAAGAAGCCTATGAGCAAGAAGTCAGTCTGAAGAGACAGCTAGGGAACTCCTCTGTTGGAAGACTGAATAGGAAAATACAGGAGTTTCACCAAATGACAGTTGAGGAAAAGCTCACCCGTATGGGACAAAGAAATGAGAAGTATAATGAGTTTGGGAACAGTTTCACCATGAATTCCAAACTTATTTCACATCAGAGATTTCCCATGGGAGACAGACCCCATAAGTGTGATGAATGTAGCAAGAGTTTTAATCGAACTTCAGACCTTATTCAACATCAGAGAATTCATACTGGGGAAAAACCATACGAATGTAGTGAATGTGGAAAGGCCTTCAGCCAGAGCGCACATCTTATTCAGCACCAGAGAATCCACACTGGAGAGAAGCCCTATGAATGTAAGGATTGTGGGAAGACCTTCAGTTGTAGCTCTGCTCTCATCCTACACCAGAGAATCCACACTGGGGAGAAACCTTATGAATGTAACGAATGTGGAAAAACATTTAGCTGGAGCTCCACTCTTACTCACCATCAGAGAATCCACACTGGCGAGAAGCCCTATGCTTGCAACGAATGTGGGAAGGCTTTCAGTAGGAGCTCCACCCTTATTCATCATCAGAGAATCCACACTGGAGAGAAACCCTATGAATGTAATGAGTGTGGGAAAGCCTTCAGCCAGAGCTCACACCTCTATCAGCACCAGAGAATCCACACTGGAGAGAAGCCCTATGAATGTATGGAATGTGGAGGGAAGTTTACCTACAGTTCAGGCCTTATTCAGCATCAAAGAATCCACACAGGGGAAAATCCCTATGAATGTAGTGAGTGTGGGAAAGCCTTCAGGTATAGCTCAGCTCTTGTTCGCCATCAGAGGATTCACACTGGAGAGAAGCCTTTGAATGTAATGGGTGTAAGCAGAAATTCCGGAGTTTCTGCTGAATTAAACATCAGAGAGTCCACATGAGAGAGCCATATGCCATTTTCCCCACTCCCTGAGTCTAAGGAGCTCTTGCCTTACTTTATAAATAGGGCCGATTTAAAATGTGTTCCACCTCCAACCTTTCACTCAGAGAGTGGGGCAGATTGGGAAAAACATCCTGGCACAGCGATCAGCAGGATTTCCCAGGAATGGACACCAGTCTTGAAAAATTGTGAGGCAAGTAGCAAATTAAGCACTGGGAAAAGAAGGAAGCTTGGGGACCAGTCTCCCCTTTTTGGGAAGGGGTTTGCACTAAACCAATTTTCTCACACCAAAAGAGCCTTTCTTTCCAAGGTGGGGATGGAAGCTTCTTAGCAACAAAATTCCAAGGGTTCCACTACTTGGAGTCAGTCTGGTAAGCACAACAGGCAGAGGGAAGAATATTCTGGGTCATCCTAAGTTCTGGGGAGGGAAACAAGCTGTATTTCTTTCTTTCTTTTTTGAGACAGGTCTCACTATGTAGCCCTGGCTGTTCTTGAACTCACTGTGTAGACCAGGCAGGCCTTGAACTCAGAGAGACCTACATGCTTTTGCCTCCTAAGTGCTGGGATTAAAGGCGTATTCAACCATGCCAGGCCCCCAGAGGCTGCATTTCAGAGCCATTCTTCTTAATCCAGCTTTAAGATTGGACAAGGAATATGCTGCTTTGGCATATGAATCATGAATTCAGGAAACTTGGTGCTGATGGGTTCATTTTATTGGGGGGGGGGTACCCCAGCCAGGGTTTCTGTAGTGACTATCCTCGGAGCTCTTGGAGCAGTTTTTAAGAGCAGTCTGGCAATACTGTAGGCAGACCCCACATCCTCCCTTGTAACAGGACTGACTGGAAATCTCATTGGAGCAGTAAATAACCTGAGGTAGATCAGAAGCATTTACTACTGGCCTGACTCCTGTCCTCTCTTCTTCCTGTTCCTGTGGTAAAAGGTTATATGATATCAACCTCTAGTTATTAAGGATGCTGTCAGGGAACTCACCTACCCAGCTTGTCCTACCCTCACCTCTAACATCTGGCCCCAGCAGCTGGACCTCTCTGGAGTACATCTGACTTCAGCTACTTCGGAGTACATAAACAGTAAAGCCAGAGAGGCACTGAGGCCCAAGCTTGGCAGCTGGGCTCCTTGCTGGGTACGGGTGGTGCTCCAACCAACAGATGACTTTCCATATTTCTCCAACCCTGCTCATCCTGTAGCTTAAATGAAATGCACTGTTAAACAGAATAGTTTTTTCAGAAGGGGAGATGTATTGGGCATTTGTATAGGAATCAAAGTTTTGTCAGTTAAAACAGCACAGTAACTATAAATGGAATCCAAAAGTATACTCTGAAATTTGTCTTTGATAACCATTTTTGCGTCACAAATGTGAGGCTTTCCTGTCCCACACAGCCCTCTCAAACTCTTGCAGACATTACTGCAGATTGTATAAACATGTGCAGCTACTCCCACTTTCATACCAAATTAGAATTTTATAGGCTGTAGATCATTTTGTGTGGTAGACAGATGACGAAAACTAAAAAGGTGTGTTTGGCTCTTTTGTAGCAATGGGCATATCTCTCTGTTTCGGTTTGGTGTTGGTAGGGTATTATGGCCATGGAGAATGGTAGGCTTGGAATGAGATGAAGAGGTTAACATTAAGATGGCTGTGAACGCCCTGCACTTACAAGGGAGAGGCAGGAGGATCTCTGTGAGTTCAAGGACAACCTGGTCTACAGAGCTAGTTCTAGGATAGCCAGCGTTACACAAAGAAACCCTGTCTTGAAAAACCAAAAAACAAACAAAAATGGCCATGAACTCACTTTTTTTTTTGGTAGAGTATGGTAATGGATCATCTATTATGTGTCTTTAATTTCACAAATTTTTGGAACTGATCATTTTTGGCTCCTTTAACACTTATTGCCAGGCCTGATGGTTCAAGCCTCTAATCTCAGCTACTTGAGAGGCTGATAGAGGAGGATCACAAGTTCCAGGCCTGCCTGCACTATGAAGTGAGTTTAAGGCCAGCTTGGACAAGTTAGTAAGGAGTCTATTCCATTGTTTGTCTTTCTAATTACTGGAAATTAAGCTGAGCCTCATCAGTTATACAACTGGCTTCTAGTTCTGCCTTTTCTTTTTTTTTTTTTTTTTTTTTTTTTGGTTTTTCGAGACAGGGTTTCTCTGTGTAGCTTTGCGCCTTTCCTGGAACTCGCTTTGGAGACCAGGCTGGCCTCGAACTCACAGAGATCCGCCTGGCTCTGCCTCCCGAGTGCTGGGATTAAAGGCGTGCGCCACCACCGCCCGGCTAGTTCTGCCTTTTCAAGCAGCACACACTTCTTTATCAAATAAAACTTTGAAGAACATTTTTTTCTTTCTTTCTTTTTTTGAGACATGGTTTCTCTGTGTAACCCTGTCTGTCTGGGAACTCGCTCTGTAGACCAGGCTGGCCTCAAACTCACAGAGATCTGTCTGCTTCTGCCTGCTGAGTGATTGGGTTAAAGGTGTGCTTAAAGAACATTTTCATTCTGCAAAAGAAGTTGTTTTATTCACCTCTGCTGGGGATCATATCCAGCATTTCTTTTGTGCTGGGTAAGAACTAAGTACCTCAGCCTAGAATTTTTTTTTTTTTTTTTGCATTCATTTTTGGTATGTGTTCATGCATGCATACATGTGCCATGGAATGCACGTGGAGGTCAGAAGCCAACTTGCAGGAGTTGGTTCTCTTGCAGTGTGGGTCCCAGGGATGAAGTCAAGGTCACCAGGCCTGACAAGGGCAAGTGCCATTACCTGTGGAGCCATCTCTCTGACCGAGGAATTTTTACTTTATTTACTTTTGTGGTTTATTTTTGACTCAGGACTGACCTTGAACTGATCCTCCTGTGTCTACCTCCCAAATGCTGGAATTACAAGCATATGCTGCCTTTCATCTCCAGTGACATCTCTGAGATCCAATTCAAATGATTCTGGGAAAGTATGTTATGTAATAAAGTTTCTAACTGAGCACAGAGTCCAGTTTCATGTGCACTTTTCAGGTAACAGGATGAACAATGCAGTGATGATAAACATCTTGTTAGATTGTTTCTTTTTTTTAGTGAATAATACAAAACAAAAACAAGAGAAAAGGTTGTTTTGCTTTGGTTTGTGTTTTAGGTGGGATCTTGCCATGTAGTCCAGGCTAGCCTTGAACTCAGTCCTGCTGCAACCTTTTTAAATTCTGGAATTACAGATTAATCGTCATACCCAGTTAAAAGATAGTTTTTAAAAAGCCCTCCATAGTTCTTTTTTTTTAAATATATATATAAGTTCCTTAGACAGTTGGGTTTTTTATTTTTTTCACTTAAAAAAAAAAAGTCCAAGGGCCAGAGCCGTAGCTCAGTTGGTAGAGAACTCACTTCACTTGATAAAGTCCTGGGTTTGAGCTCCAGCAATGCATAAACTGGGCATGGCTTAATCCCAACACTTAGAAAGGTCAGGAGTTAAAGGCTATTCTTAGTTATAAATGGTTGCCGCTAGCCAGAGCTACATGAAACCCTACTCCCTCTCCTTAAAAAAAATAATGCACCCATCTAGATGCATTACTTAAAATGTCAGTAATGAATCAAAAATTGTATAGACTTATTTTCACACAAAGATGATTGTGCTTACCAGAATAGTTTGTGCTAGAATAGCAAGCAATTCTTCTGCTTTTTTGTTTTGTTTTGAGACAGGGTTTTTCTGTGTAGCCCTGGCTATCCTGGGCTCTGTAGACCAGGCTGGCCTTGAACTCACAGAGATCTGCCTGCCTCTGCCTCCCAAGTGCTGAGATTAAAGGCATGCACCATCACCACCCAGCTCTTTTACTTTTTCTTAGGATTTTATTTTTATTTATGTCTGAATATAGGACTAAGGAAGCTGTACAAAGGCCCTGTATCCCATGGAGCTGGAGTTACATACAGGCAATTGTGAACTGTCAGACATAGGTTCACAACTGCCAGACTTGGGTCCTGTAAAAGAACAGTGTCATATTACTTACTGTTCTATTGCTGTGAAGAGACACCATGACCAAGGCAACTGTTATAAAAGAAAGCATTTAATTGGGGGCTTGCTTACAGTTTTAGAGGTTAGTCCATGATCATCATGACTGGAAGCAGATGGGCACAGAACTGAGCAGAAGGTAAGTAAGAACTTTACATCCTGATCCACAGGCAGCAAGCAGAGAGACAGACAGACACTCCTGGCACGAACTTTTGAAATCTCAAAGCCCACCCTCAGTGACACACCTACTCCAACAAGGCTGCACCTCCTGATCCTTCCCACACAATTCAGTGGGGACTAAACATGCAAATAGATGAGCCCATAGGTGTTATTCTCATTCAAATCACCACAAGCAGTATCCACTCCTATCTGATGAGCCATCTCTCCAACCCAAGAATGATCATTCTTAGGACCGACTGCCTGTTGAGGTGGGGTACAAACATGGGGATTACCCCAAAGACATTGTTTGATTCCTTTTCACCTCTACAGCTTCTCAGTCAACACCGGATTCATCCATTCTTCCATAGTCTCACCTTGGCCCTTGTTAGCTCATTCCAGGACTTTGGTACCAGCCTCACAGTGGGTCTCTGCATTCTTTCTCCTACACTCTTTTTTTCTTCCTACCCACATATATTAGTTACTGTACTGTTGCTCTGGCCAAATAATTGACATAAGTAAAAATGGAGAAAACGTTAATCTTGGCTCACACAAATTCTGGGGCCTTTTTCCCCTCTTCCAAGTTATTCATTTATTGTATAAATTGAGTATTATATGATAAACTGACATTTACCTCTCCAGCTATGGTAACTTAACAGATGAGGTCAGACATTTTAGAATCTGTTTGTGTTGCTTTCACAGCTGTGGATTTTTAGATTTAAACTTGAAGTATAAGACCATCACAGCTACTCCTCTGTCTGTGGCCAGTACACAATTCATTCTACCCGTGACACTCTTAAGAATTGAATACAAGGGGCTGGAGAGATGGCTCAGAGGTTAAGAGCATTGACTGCTCTTCCAGAGGTCCTGAGTTCAATTCCCAGCAACCACATGGTGGCTCACAACCATCTGTAATGAGATCTGGTGCCCTCTTCTGGCCTGCAGTCATACATGCTGTATACATAATAAATAAATAAATTTAAAAAAAAAAAAAAAAAAAGAATTGAATACAGGTTTGAGAGACGGCTCAGTGATGAAGAGCACTTGCTGCGCTTCTACAGGACTTGAGTTTGGTTCCCAGCACTCACATGGGGCAGCTTACAATCACTTGTAACTCTCGTTCTAGGGGATGCCCTCTTCTGGCCTCTGCTGGTACCTGTACACACATGGTGTACACATACACTAATAAATTTTTTTTTTTTTTTTTTTTTTGGTTTTTCGAGACAGGGTTTCTCTGTGTAGCTTTGCGCCTCTCCTGGAACTCACTTGGTAGCCCAGGCTGGCCTCGAACTCACAGAGATCCGCCTGGCTCTGCCTCCCAAGTGCTGGGATTAAAGGCGTGCGCCACCACCGCCCGGCTATAAATTTTAAAAGGTTGAAATACCTTTTAAGAACAGTGAACTATCTCGAAAAACCAAAAAAAAAAAAAAAAAAAAAAAAAAAAAAAAAAAAAAGAACAGTGAACTATCTAGGACAGGCACCAAAACTACATGGAGAAACCTTGTCTCAAAAAAACCAAACCAAACTGTGAACTGGACCGTTTCTGGTCCTGCCATGACTTCAATGACTTAAGGTTTCCACGGTAGGTGGCAGAGGAGATCATTTACTGAAAGGAGTTGATGCTAGTCCCTGGAAGTCCTTGTGATGCTGGAATCTACTCCTTACATCTGAACAGATAAGATCTGAGTAAACAGCGAAACAAAAAATTGCTTTGCCTATTTCACAAATCCACAGCTGATGTCCTTCAATAAACCCAGTTACCTGCTCGGCCTTGCCAGAAGCCAATCCTTGACTCATGAGGCTGAACATAACGGCGGTGGGAATGTGTGGGGAAGGTTATTCACTTCATGGCAACCAGGAAGAAGAGAAAGGGTCTGGGACTAGGTATTCTCTAGGGGTGGCCTTGTCATCCATTTTCTCCAGCTAGGCTTCATCTCCTGAACTTTCCACTATCTCCAAATGGCCCCACCAACTAGAGACCAACCACAACACATGAGCTAATGGGGAGATGTCCTCTCCTATAACATTGTATGTGAATTGTCATACTGACAGCATGTCAAGAGTATTTCTGTGTCTCCTTCCCTGAATGAAAAGCCAAAGTTAATTTTTTTTTATTTATTAATTTCTTATGTGTGTGTCATGAGAGGTCACCTGTAGAGACCAGAGGACAACTTTCAGAAGTTGATTCTCGCCTTCCACTCCCTGGGTCCAAGGGACCAAACTGAGGTTGCTGTTTTAAGGCAAGTGCCTTTTCCTGCTGAGCCATCTCACTGCCCAGAAATCTCAATTCTTTATCATGCCACAGGGTTGGTTGGTTTGTTTTCTTCTTCACTTCTCAGCCCTGCCTCTTGCCCTGTTCTTGCCTCTTGCTTAGCCCTCTTTTCACTTGCTCACAGCCTTCCTCCCCTCCCACAGACCTTGCCTTGAGGATACAAAAGCACCATAGTTACAAGAACACCATGTAACACCTCGGTGGCACCTGCTCTTCCTGAGTGTTCTCCCATTCTACCTACTGAAAGAATTCCTGGGAGAACCTTACTGTATGTTTCTTATTTTGTCGATGAGGATTGAGCCCGGCCTCATGCATGCTAGGCAAGGAGGCTACCACCACGTTGTATCTCCAGTCCCTTATTACTATTGAGGCAGGGTCTTTGCCACAGATGGAGGATGTGCCTTTGAAACGATCCCTCCTGCCTTTGCTGGGCAAGCATCATAGGCCCTGTGATTGTTAGGCAAGCATTCTTAACACCTTGCTGAAGAACCAGCTCCAGCAGATCAGAGAAACTGGAGAGGAGTCTGCAAATGCTAAACACACACACTGGAGGCTTATCTGTGGGGCAAGACTTCATTCTTCATTTTATTTCTCTGTTTCTTCTTCTGTTCTTTTTCTCTTATCCCTTTTATTACCACCTAAGATAAAAATTTCTATGCAAGAAAAGATTACCTCACAACCACAACTTACATAATTTCCAGAAAGTAAAATCTTTACACAAGAAATCATCACATGATCACAAATTTCATGTTTTTTCTTAGAGAACCACAAGTAGTTAAACATTTTTTGTATTAATTTTCCCACCATAACATCTTCACCCCAAAGCAATGATTCTTTTATAACTGATTAAGAAAGTTTTAAGCAAGCCAAGTATATTTCAGCCAGTTCCTTTTGTACTGGCAGGTAGGTGTTTGTGGTTTCAGTGTAGGAGATTTCTATCCTATTTTACTCTACAAAACTTGACTCAAGTGGTCTAGCAAACCATCTATTTTTCCTTTTTTCATTACCTTTTTTTCATTTTCATTATTTAATTTCCTTTCACAACTTTGTTTTTTCAAGGTTTCTACTGGACCCTGTGACTAATTCTATAAGCTATATGACCAAGGAACTCGGGCCTAACCTTGGGTGTGGGGGCATTAGTTTTCTTTGATCATCAGCCTGTTTTCCACAGGCAGAATTCATGGGTCTATAATGCATGAAACCTCCTTGTTCTTATTTTTAATCCTCTGTAAATCTCACATCTAATGAAGGGGAAGGTGACTTCTAGCCTAGTTTTGCCTTTTTAGTATCTCTTAATTGGAGCAATTGGCAGAATAACCTAAACCATTTCCCTAATCATCTTTACTGTCTTAACCACCTGCATCTTTTAGGTTGACTCAGAAAGTCCAATTAAATCATTGATCCAACTATCACTGCTCTTATAAGAATCATCTTCATTATGATCTGCAAGTAAATTACCCAGTGAGGAGTGGGATTTTCCCATGAAGCAATCACACTATACTAGATGCAGTGGGATCATTTCACATAATAATCATACCATGCCGAATACAGCAGGAACATGACAGCAAGTAGGAGAAAGCACAGCAGAAGCAAGAGGCATTCTGGAAACAACCCCCCTGCCCCCGGGACTTTGCCTTTCGAGGGTGCGCCCATCATACCTTTGCTATCTGGTGGGTTGCATTCCATAAACTCCATTGCTGACTGCGGGTCCTCCAACATGGCCACCGACTCAACTTGAGCCCCACCATCCCTACTTGACCTTTTCAGTGAAACCTTTTCTAGTTCACTGCTTCCATCCCTACAAAGTTAATTATTTCCCTCAAAGTGCCTCTGTAGTTACTGCAAGCATTCATCATAGTGCATGTCCTCCATCCATTGGTTTTGTTTGTTTTTGTTTTTCAAGACAGGGTTTCTTTGTGTAGTCCCGGTTGTCCTAGAACTAGCTCTGTAGACCACTGGCTGGCTTTGAACTCACAGAGATCCATCTGCCTCTGTCTCTTGAGTGCTGGAATTAAAGGTGTCCACCACCACCGCCACCGCCCGGCCCATCCATTGGTCTTTATACATCTGATTCCCTCATTGTGGTGGGGTAATTTCCCCCTATAACTTCATACTATCCTACCATAACTATTACTTTCATAGTTGGAAAGAATGATAGAGTGTGTGTGCCTGGAAAATGACAATTTTTTTTCTTTTTCTTTCTAAGAAAAGTTTATTTTGCTCACAGCTTTAGAGGCTAAGAGCCCCAGATTGGGAAGCCTCACTGACCTGACATCTGGTGAAGATCCAATAGCAGTGGTCGAAGCATGTGCGCAAGTGAGAGAAAGCCAGAGTGTGATTCAGGAGTCAAGCTTTCTATTTTAACCACTTCCCCTTGAAATTGCTCAGGAGTCCCATCAAAGTCATTTCAGTCCTTTCTTATGGCAGCTTCTAATGTGACTTAGGGACCCTCCATTAAACCCCAGCTCTTAAACTGCCTAACATCTTCCCTACCCCTCATCCCTGCAGGGATGGAGGAACCCTTAGAGTACCCACTCAAACACAGCCGTTATCAGTGGGTTGGAGAAAGATGCTTGTTAGCTGGGTATCCAATATAGGGCTAACAAGCTCCTGTAAATCAGGAGACAGAGACAAACACCACTGGGCTGCCTAACCTGGGGATGCAGACTTGCCATCCCAACTTCTTAGGAGGTTAGGAAAGGCAGGAGGATCCATGTTCAGTGTCAACCTGAGCAACTTAAAAAGGGCTACATACTTGAGTAGACATTTCTCCAAAAATGTCCCATAGATACATGAAAAATATTTTGTTTTTGACACAGGGTCTCCAATAGTGCAGACCGGACTTCAATGGGGTGGGGATGTGCAAGTGGGGCTGGTTTTGAACTCTTGATCCTCCTGCCTCCACATCCAAAGTGCTGAGATTACAGGAGTGTGTCACCACACTGGCTTGAGAAAAAAAAAAAAAGTTCCAGATCATTGAGGGAAATGTAAATCTAAACCGTCTTGAAAAACAAAAACAAACCAATGGATGGAGGACATGCACTATCATGACAATATTTGGCTATTGTCACAAAAAGATGGCAACAACTATCAGGAGAATTTGGAGAACTTGAGACCTTTGAACATTGGTAATGGGAATTTAACATGGTGAAACTGTATTTTTAAAAAACTTAGAATTAGCATATTTTGCAGAAATCCCTTTTCTGGGACTGAGGAGAGATAATTCTGCGAGGACACCCAAATACATCTTTCCTAAGCTACTGTGAACAGCAAGAAAAAGTCAGTTTTCATTTTCAGTGCTCCACCCCTCCTATTGGCTGGTACATGAAGACTTAGTGTATGTGGCCAATCAGAAAGAAAAAATGCCAAGTTCAGAGAGTGGAAGCTGGGAGCTCTCCTTCAGAAGAGCCTTATCAGGAAGAAGGGTGGTCACGGCACAGGGGTGGGGGTGGGGTGGGACTGAATGGAGAGCATTCAGTTCCCCAGGACATAAAGAATATCAGGACATAGAGGATATTCCTTCTTTTTACAGACTTCTGGGGGAAGGGGGGTTAAGTTCCACAGCCCAGTGGCATGACCTTGCTTACATACCAGGAGCCACAAGGTGAGAGGGCATCAGGGAAAAGGGCGGGCTGAGGAGATGGCTTGGTGGTCAAGAGCATGTGCTGCTCCTGGCAGAGGACCCAACTTAGGTTCCCAGTATCCACATCAGGCAATTCACAACGGCCTGTTAACTCCAGCTCCAGGGGATCCCACACCTCTGGCTTCTACAGGCATCTGCTCTCATGTGTACATACCCACAGAGATACACACATACACATAAATACAATGTTCAGAACAGAGTAAAGTTGGGCAGGTCATGGTGATATATACCTTTAGTGCCAGAACTTAAGAAACAGATCTTTGTGAGTTCGAAACTAGCCTGGTCTACACAGCATAGCAGCCAGGGTTGCATAGTGAGACCCTGTCTCAAACAACAAAATCAACAACAGAGTAAAGTTAAAATTCAATGTTGTCAGGGTTGGAGGGATGGCTTAGTGGTTAAGAGCACATACTGTTCTTACACAGGATCTAAGTTTGGTTTCCAGCACCCATGTTGCAGGGCTCACAGCCATCTTCCCACACCTCTAGCCTGCATAGGCACCTGCACACATGTATACATACCCATGAATGGGCATTAGGGCCCGGGAATATGGGTGTGGGGAAGGAGGTTGCAGCTGCAAGGGAGAGGACTATTGCCAAGGTCACTGCAAGCTTATCGACTCTCCTGTCCATGGAAAGCTGAAGGGAGGTGTAGCCTGACTGCTGTGGTATAGGTAGAGGGTCTGGAACAATCCTTAGGTCTGGCACTCAACGGGAAACTTTCTTGCTCCCCAGTTCTAAGCATATCAAGATGCTTGGTATAATACTTCAGTGATTCCTTTTCAGGAGGTAAAGAACTGTCATAATATGCAGAGAAGCAAGTGGCGAAGGAAGGGGAGTAGCTGGGTTTCTGGACAGCATCGGACAGAAGGAACGGGAGGTGTTTCACCAGTGCAGAGACTGCATTCGGATTTTGCCAGGAAGGATTTAAGGTAATCCTGTTGGGTTTTGACTTCTGGAGTCTTCAGAAGGAAGTTGCTTATGGAGAGTTGATTTTCATAGACATGAGTATAGACAGGGTTGATATAAAACTCACAGGCTTAAAAAAAACGATCCCACTAATGAAAATATGTGTTCACACCAGGTGGTGGTGGTGGCGCATACCTTTAATCCCAGCACTTGGGAGGCAGAGGCAGGTGGATCTCTGTGAGTCTGAGGCCAGCTTGGTCTACAGAGCAAGTTCCAGGACAGCCAGGGTTAGATAGAGAAATTCTGTCTCAAAAAATCATGGCCACACATAGAAAGCTTATCTCAAAAAGAGTGTGTGCTCACTGTCAGGACAGCACAATACAACAGTGCAGACCATTAGGCGGCTACACCCATACTCGCCCATGATTTCATCACACACATTCACAAGCTCCAGACTGGAGGTGGTCGCTCTTTCCTTCCTTCCTCTATCCTCCTCTCCTTTCTTTGACATGGTCTAGCCAGTCTGGAACTCATGATCCTCTCTTTATGAGAGTATACCCCCATGCCTGGCCAATATTTTACCCAAGAGTGTTCAATAACATGGATACTGATAGGTTCAGTGGGTGAGGAGCTTGCCACCAGGTCTGACAACCTGAGTTTGATTCCTGGGACCCATATGCTGGATGGAAGGAGATAATAATTCATTCAAGTTGTCCTCTGGCCTCCACATATGTGCTAGGGCATACACACACTTACATACCCATCCACCCACCTACCCACCCACCCACCCAAAAACTGTAAAAAAAAAAAAAGTGTTGTATAACAACATCATTTATCACAATAATAGTCCTGAGACATTACATGATGCTATACGTTTATTCTGAAACAGACTGTTCAAGGTGGCTCAGTTCTTTACAAACTACAACTGTGGAATATATGTTAAAACAGTTAAACATATTTCAATGTTTCTTCCTTAACTACACTGGACACACATCAGTTTAACTATGCGGAAGGTAATGTCAGCATAGTTCACTAGGGCCTGGAGTGTGAAGAGGGACCCTGCTGGCCGAGGTGACCACTGTGGAGCTCACTGCTGCTCTGCAGACCTCCGCCTGCCCTGTCACTGTGGAGTCCTCCCTCCATGGCATCCTTTGATGACTAGAGCAAAATCTACCACCAAACATCATTGTATTACAGAGCTGCTCTCTAGCACTCACATTCTAATGTTTACAACAAGAACAACAACAGAGGAGGATAGACAGTTACAGTACTTCTCCCTCTCCAGTGTGGACTCTCTGATGTTTGGAAAGGTTGGACTTGCTACAGAAGGTTTTCCCACAGTGGTTACACCAATAGGGCTTTTCGCCAGTATGGATTCTGTGATGCTTATTAAAATTTGAACTATGGTTGAACGCCTTGCCACACTCCTTACACTTATAGGGCTTCTCCCCTGTATGCAGGCGTTGATGGGAACTGAGACCTGCGTGCTGACTAAAACTCTTTCCACACTCGTTACACTGATAGGGTTTCTCCCCTGTGTGGATGCGATAGTGTCGAATGAGGCTGCCCTTCCCACTGAAGGCTTTCCCACAGTCTTTACACTGATAGGGCGCCTCTTCTGTGTGCATCCTTTGATGTTTAAGGAGTTCTGCACTCTGCCCAAAGGCTTTCCCACACTTACAGTCATAGGGCCGGTCCACCAAGTGTGTTCTGTAATGAAGGGTAAGGTTGGAGCTGTGGCTAAAAGCCTTCCCGCACTTTGTGCACACATAAGGCTTCTCCCCAGTATGTGTTCTCCGGTGTTTAGTGAGGTTTGAGCTATTGCTAAAGGCCTTCCCACACTCTGCACATATGTAACGTTTCTCTCCCGGGGCAGGCTTAGCAGACATGGATTCTGCTCCTCTCCTGGAACCTGCATCCTGCAGAGAAGCTCTTGCTCCCCTCTCCCTTCCCAGACTATTGGCCCACTGCCTTTCTGACCTTGACCTGTACTTATTGGCAGCAATCATGGGGATGATGTCCCTTTTGAGTCCGTCTGCATGAGATTCCTCTTCAGAACTTCTCTGCTCATCTGCTGAGTCCTCCTTCTGAGAATTCGATTTCAAACCTGAAAGCAGGTGGGTTAAGGATGCATCAGTTGTTCCTGTTCTGAGGATGCAAGCTGGTACAGGGGAAGCAGGATCACCAAGGGAGGTAGACGGATTTGAAAGGATGATGATGTATGAAACAGCTCTAACAGCAATACAAATGAAGTTACTGTCACATCTAGTTTATGGTACTGTGCGTTCAGAGGGCCCCTGCCCCTAATACCTGTTACATGATTATTTGACAGTTCTTACTATCTAGAAAGGCTGTGATCCCTCCCCACTCCCACCCCCGTATGCTCTGAAGCAGTCTAGAATACACTGGAATATTCTGTCTGTGACTTCACATTTGCTTCTACAAGATACTCAGAGCCAATGTTTGTGAAGGATTTCTGCCTTGGAAGGTTTCTGGGCCATGCAGGTAAAAGAAAGGAGCTCAAGTTTCTACCAGGGTAGACATCAGGTTTCAGTGCTGTGGGTGAGGTTGAGTTCCACTCACGCTCAGACAAACTGGTCAACTCCCCCTTGTCCTGTGCTACTGGCTCAGTCTTCCAGGACAGCACACCTTCTCAGGGGTACATAAGCTTCTTTGAGAACAGTTCCAACTCCTCTCCCTTAAGAGCACTTAAAAGCCTTTTCCCTAAATGGGCATTAAAACCTGAGCCTGAGCCAGGTATAGTGGCACACATCTTTAATCCTAGCACTTGGGAGCAAGAGGCAGGTGGATCTGTCTTTTGAGGCAGCCTAGTCTACATGGTGAGTTCTGGGCCAGCTAAGGTTACATAGAGAGACCAAAACAAAAGACAAAAGCAAATAAACAAAATTACAATCAAGTCAGAACCAACCAACCAGTCCACCAACCAAACAGAAAAAAAAAATCCACAAACACAAACAAAAAAACCCAGCTCATTTCCAGCTCTGGTAACACTTCCTCCTGGTCTTCCACTCTGTGTAGAAAGGACATGTGAATATGCAAAGGGAAGTGTATACAACAGGATTCAATCTATCCTATTGTAATTTTTCCTCCAACTGTCATAATTTTTCTCTTAAGTTTTTACAGTTGACTATAATTCCATTGTGTATATGTACATTTTCTTTATCCACTGATACCCAGGCTGGTTCCACATTTTGGGTATTATGAACAAAGCTACAGTAAAATTAGCCCAGTCTCTGTGATATGCTGACTTAGAACCCTCTAGATATGAAGCTGGGTATAGTGGTACACATCTCAAATCCCAGCACCAGAAGGAAGTAGAAGCAGGACCAAGAGTTCAAGGTCACCCTCCTTTACATAACACTTTTGAAGCCAGTATCCCCCCCATCCCCACTCCCCCAGACAGGGTTTCTTTGTGTGGCCTTGGGTGTCCTAGAACTCACTCTGTAGACCAGGCTGGCTTCGAACTCAGAGATCCTCTTGCCTCTGCCTCCTGAGTGCTGGTATCAAAGGTGTGAGGATCAAAGGCGTGAGCTACCACCACCGGCCAGTGTCCTTTTTTAACCATAAATAAGTAAAACAAACAAATAAATAAAAAAATTGTGTTCGTATGGGTATTTTCCTTGCACATATGAAAGTGTACTGTGTGCATGCCTGGTTCTCATGGAGTCCAGAAAAGGGTGCCAGATCCCCAGAACTGCAGTTCTGGATTGTTTTAAGCTGCTACATGGGTGCTGGGAACTGAATATGGGTCCTCTGCAAAAGCACCAAGTGTTCTTACCTGTCTAGCCATCTCTCCAGTCCCAATTATCCCAGATTTATTTTTATATTTAAGATTTTTAAGATTTATTTTCATTCATGTGTGTAACTGTGTGTCTGCTACATGTATACAGGTGCCCAGAGGCCAGAAGAGGCCACTAGGTCTCTTGAAGTGGGAGTTAACACACAGGCAGTTGTGAGCAGCCTCCTGTGGGGGCCGGACTCAAGCCTCTGTCCTCTGCAACAGCAGGAAGTGCTCTTGTCTACTGAGCCATCTCTCCAGCCCCTAATTTCTAATTACAACTGAAAAGGTACACAGTCTACTGACAATGGTGCCAGGGCCATCAGTCAGGAGCACATGCCTATCAACTGTCTGTGTTCTGCACTCATTTGTGTGGTGCCCTCAAGAACAGGAGTTTGGGTTAGGAGATTGGCTATCCCAGGCTGAATCAAGTTTCAAAGGGTCAGAGTCTCAGAATCCAAAGCAAGGGGGAGGGGGCAGAAGGAGTGTGTGGCACAGAACAGAAAGGGAAGGAAGAGAGCAGACTGGGGTAGGATGGTATTCTAAAAGTGGGGATTGTGGGGGAACACTTTAATCTGCAAGAGGGAGGGTCTTCCTTCTTTTGGGGACAGGGTCTCACTCTGCAGACTCCTGTACCATACTAGGTTTGCAACAGGCCCCCAGGTCCTAGCACAACCGACACCATGATGGAAGTGCCATTCAGGCCTTGGAACCCAGTACACAGCACCACCACCTGCTGAAACAAGAACAAAGACCAGCCCATCAAAGTCCCCAGTGCTGAGGAAGTTCCTAAATGTACTAACCTTGCTTTTTGGCTTCTGGCTAACATTCTTGCTAACTGAAGTGTGTCAACCCAGGATGTGGTTTTTATGCTTAAAAGCACATGCAGAGAAAGGCTAGGGACTGCACTCTGGTCCTGAATACCCAGTTGTTGTGGAGTATTTGTTTAACTATGCAACGATGTGTCGCTGTTTTACCTTGCCTGCCCCTGACTGGTATAATAAAAAGCTGGACAAGGTATAGGCGGGACTTCTGGCAGGGAGAACAAGTAGGAGGAGGAATTTAGACTCAAAGGAAGAAAGAAAAGAGACACCAGGGGCCAACCAGCTAGACACGGAGGAAGCAGTAAAGTAGGACATAGAGAATGAAAGAAAGGCAAAAAGCCCCAAGGCAAAACGTAGATGAATAAAAACAGGTTAAATTAAGTTATAAGAGCTAGTGGGGCTGGAGAGATGGCCCAGTGGTTAAGAGCACTGACTGCTCTTTCAGAGGTCCTGAGTTCAATTCCCAGCACCCACATGACAGCTCACAGCCATCTGTAACTCTAATTCCATGGGATCTGATGCCAATGCACATAAAAGTTAAATAAATTAAAAAAGAGCTAGCAGATAAGCTGAAGCTAAGGCTGAGCCTTCATAGGTCTCCGTGTCTTTATTTTGGGATCTGGTTGGCAGCACAAAGACAATTCCAACTACACCTAGTGTAAGCTGCTGCCAGATAATGAAGACCTTCTCTTGGCTTGAACCATGTCTGAGTGGTCTTCTCTAGTAGACACCTCACAACAGGTAGATCTAGGCTGGCCTCAAACTCATGGCAATCCTCCTGCTTCAGATTTTCAAGTGTTGTGCAAAGTTATATTCTTGGTTTTCTTCACGTATAATGAATTACTCTGGCAGTCCAGGGAAGCCCCCAGGTAAGTTGAAGATTATGAACAACTCTAAACAGTGAAAACTTAAATTAACAGTTTAATTTTCACTTTTCCCGGAGAATATGATTTTGTTGTTTCTTGAGTCAGAGTGTCAGTATATAGCCCAGCCTAGCCTTGAACTCTTCCACCTCGGCCTCTGTGAGTGCCGGATCACAGGGTGTGTGGCACCGTATCTGGCTGGAGAAGGTGGGAATTTTGTTGCTCATTTTTTAGACTTACTTTATGTACATGCATGTTTTGTCTATATGTATGTATGTGCACCATATGTGTGTTTGGTGCCTGAAGAGTCAGAACAAGGAACTGGAGAGTTCCAGATGCTGAGGAGCCACCACGTGGGTGCTGGGAGCTGAACTCAAGTCCTCTGCAAGAATAACAAGCACTCTTAACTGCCACCTCTCTCCAGCCCCTAGAATGTAGCTTTCAACAGACTTAGGCCAGGAGTGATGGTGCACACTTTCAGTCCAGCACTCAGAAGGGACAGGCAAGCAGCTCTGAGTTCTAGGCCAGCCAAGACTGCACACTGGGACCCTGTCTCATTAATAAATAGGAATTACTGAGTGTGTGCAGGCATTTCTGTAACTGCCTGTGTGAAGGTCAGAGGACAACTCCAGAACTCAGTTCTCTCCTTCTATGATGTAGGTTCCAGGGATGGAACTCAGGTCACTGGGCTTTCAGAGCAAGCACTTTAACTGCTGAGCCATCTTGTCAGTCCCTATGATGTACATTTTCAAACAATTATTTTTACTTATGTGCCTGCTTATCTGTATGTGCACCACAAATGTGCAGGTACTGTTGTAGGAATTTAGCAGAATCACTGTATGGGACAGATATTAGAACAAACAGTTGTTTTTTTAGAAGTACTTTGACCTTGAAGAATCCTCGTGGAAAACAGTGATTGTTTCGCTAAGGTGGTACTGTAGCATCCCAGGATTTTGGGCACAAGACGCCTCAGGCATACCGGAGGCTCTTGTCTTATTGTGTACTGCAAAGGATACATAATAAAGGACTAGAGTAATGGCATGTGATGCTCTCCTTCAGTAAGACATGTAAATTAGATTAGGGACCTTGGTATGAGGAAATACTTTATGTAATTTTTAATAAATACATCTTTGTACGACTTTTCGGGGGTTCAGTCCATCAGAAGAGGCTGGACCTTCCTGCTGCCCGATAGGCCTTAAAATTTCATCTTGGGAGTGCCTTCTTTCTTCAACCAACCTGTACACTACTCGGTGCACCCTGACAAGATGCTCTTGGAGAGCAGACCTTAGTAACTAGAGTTATAGACCGTTGTAAGGCACTCAATATGGATGCTAGGAAATGAACGGGGTCCTCTGTAAGAGCAGCCACTGCTCTTAACTGCTGAGCCGTCTCTCCAGCCCCAATACAGTTTTTTGTTTGTTTGGGTTTTTTTGGATAGGATTTCTCTACAAAGCACTGGCTCATTATGTAGAGCAGGCTCGCCTCGAACTTACAGAAATCTCACCTGCTTCTGCCTCCCAAGTACTGGAACTAAAGGTGTACTCCACTATGCCTGATACAGAATATAGTTTTCAACAGGGCTCAAAATTTTGTTTCCAAGAGGGGGTTTCAAGTGTCTAGGACATGGTAAGTAATTCAGGCATTTTCTAAGGGCCATGGCTCTGCTCATGAACAAACCATATCCGTGAAAAATGATAAATACAAGATTTGGAACAATGTGCTATATTTTCATCAACATGTAAATCTAATTAATCTTTGAAAACTTTATTATACCAGGTAAATGAAAGTATATAAGAGCAGAAACAACCTGTAGAAAAATAAGGCTGATATGTAAACCATGATTTGTGGAGATCTGAGGTAGGGAAAGTTAGTTACTCTAATATACTTTTTTTTTAGACAAGGTCTCATAAAACCTAGACTGATCTTGAACTCACCATGTAGCCAAGGATGACCTTGAATCTGAGTGCTGGGGATGGAACCCAGGGCCTCCTGCATGCTAGGTAAGCACTCTATAAACTGAGCTATATTTCCAACCCCTAATTTATTTCTGACCTGTGACATCTGCAGAGATTCAGAACGGAGGCTCCTTGGCCTTTTCCAGACCCAGTCTGTCCGGCTATGTACCCCAGGAAACTGACCCTTAGGCCTAAAGACCTTTCACACCATCGGCTGTGATTGAGTCTGCTAACTGGTACACCAGAAAATGTGTGACAAGAACAATGTGAAAGTGAGGTATCTATCCCATTTTCTCCTCTTTACACAATGGTAGGACCTAGGGCCATGGCTCCTAGCACAGGACTCCTTCCTTCCCTACCAAGGCTCGGCTCTTGTCTGGTTCTGTAATAACAGGTCTTCCTTCTTGGCCCTTCGGGCTCACAGGCAGCAATACCTTTTCACTGTTGTCTAGTTCGGCACTATCCTGGCTCATTCAGCCTGTCCATGTCTCCCAATCAGTGTCACTCCTTTTTAAAACAGCTCACTCCACTCAACCCTCTGCAAGCATGCTGCCCGTCCCAGTGCTGGGAACCTGTCCGAGGCAATCGGGTTTGGGAGGAAAGTGCATGACTTCTGCCTAGGCTGCTCAACCAGTCAGGTCCATCTAGAGTTACAGAGCTCTCTCCTTACCTTGCCGCTTTCTTGGATCCTGAGTGAAAACCTCCTCCTCACCAGTCTCTTGGATGTACAGGGGCCCCCAATACTCATACTTGGGGCTGGCATCTACAGGCTGAGCTTGGGTAGTACTGCTTAAGGACTCCATTGCAGTTCCTGAAGCTGACATCTTCTCCCAAGCCTGCTTCTGTTCATTTGGAGGAGATGAGACCTAGAGACAGTAAGAAATGATGTATGCATAGCTGACTCAAAATGAGAAGAATCTCAAGCAAGCTAAGCAGAACTCTAGGGAAGAAGGGGAAAAATAGCCATCCCACTTGGTTCCCACAGTTACTTCAGGATAAGAGCAGACAACAGGAGGAAACCTGATCTAGCTCCCCAGGAGCTTCTAGCTGGTTAATAATCTTACTGGATGCTGTTGTGTAACAGTTTCTGCCTTCCATCCTACAGGAAGGTAAACAACATAAACTAGCCTCAGGAAGTCCCTGAAACTGACCAGATTCATTAGGCCCCTCCCTGTCAGAGTAAGGAATAAAAGCTGGGCGTCCCTCTGAGACTAGTAGAACAGAGCTGTATAGGAGACCAAGCAAAGCCAAGCTGCAAACAAGATTCTCAGACCAGCTGAGCTGCCTGGACAAAACATTCTCCAACCTGCTAAGCTGCCTGCAGGCTGTGCAGTGTGCTCCAGGTTCCCAGCTTTGTGAGCTGTCACGTATGCTGGGCTCTGGTGATGCAGCTGTCTTGAGTCACTTCTGCTCCTGTAAGTAACCCCTCACCCAAACTTTGATAAGCAACCCCAATAAAACCTATCAGTTCATCAAGCTGGACTTTGGTGGTGTCTGTAGTTTGGTCTGTTGTGGGTTCCCTATCTGGGGTGAGTAGACGTGTGTTGTGTCTCCCCGGGAAAAGCTGCACAAAACAGATGGACAAGCCCTGACTGCTGCCAAGGATGTTATGTCTCCTAGCATCTGATGGCCTCCCGCCCACCTGCAGTCCTGGCTCATCCAGTTCTTGCTCCAGGTCTTCCAGGAGAGTGACGGCCTCCTCTGCACTCTCAGGGCAGTGCTGCTGCACCCAGGCCTGGAGCTCTCGGGGCAGGATGGTCAGGAACTGCTCCAGCACCAGCAGCTCTAGAATCTGCTCCTTGGTGTGGATCTCGGGCTGCAGCCACTCACAGCAGAGCACCCGAAGCTGGCTCAGTGCCTCCCGGGGCCCAGGAGTGTCATGGTACCCAAACTGCCTGAAGCGCTGACGGGATATCTCTAGGTTAGGGCGGCACTTATCCTTCTCTTCATCCTCTTCAGCTTTAAGAGTCGAAGGCCCCATTGGCTCCTGAGGTGGCCTGGGGCCCAGAACTGTGGCCATGCCCACCACCTTGGTCATCACACAGATTCCAGAAAGAGCAGGGTCTGGGGAGCAGACCTGGTACCTCTGGGTTTCTGTTTCTTAAGGGCCACACTTCAAACCTATAAAAACACAGTTGCCATAAAATTATCAAAAAAGTTTTTCTGGTCTTCATCACAGGGGCCACCAGACAACTACCATATAAAAAGTATTGTTCAGAGCTGGTGGGATGGCTCAGTGGATCAAAGTGCTGCTGGGCCTGACCACCCTTGTGATCCACATGGTGGTAGAAGAGAACCAACTTCTCCAAGTTGTTCTCTGACCGCATGTGTACCTCATGGGTGCGCGTGCATGTGTACACACACACACACACACACACACACACACACACACACACGCACACACAATGTATATAAAAAAAAGCATTGTTCAGAAATGATGTTTGCAGGAAAATGGATGGAAGTGGAAATTATGTTCAGCAAGATAAGCCAGACTCACCAAAATAAGCTGAGCGTGCATTCTCTCCTATGCAGAATTTGAAGGGTGGGAGCAGACATGAAAGTAAAAGGGATGTGGAAGGGATAGAGGGAGTGTGAGGGGTACAAGAAAGGGGAACTAAGGACTAAGTATGATTAAAGTAACTATATGTGCTATGGTTGTTTGACTAAGAACGGCCCCTATAGGTTCATATATTTGAAAGCTTAGTCACCAGAGACTGTACTATTTGAAAGGATTAGAAGGATTAGGTGTGGCCTTGTTGGAGGAAGTGTGTCATTGGGGGTGGGCTTTGAGGTTTCAAAAGCCCACAATAGGCCCAGTGTTGCTCCCTCTGCCTACAGATCAGGATATAGCTCTTAGCTACTGGGCCAGTGCCTGCCTGCATGTGGCCATGCTTCCTGCCATGATGATAATGTACTTAACCTCTGAAACTGTAAACAAGCCCCCAATTAAACACTTTCTCTTATAAGAGTTGGCTTGGTCATAATGTCTCTTCACATCAACAGAACAGTGACTAAGAATGTGTGCATGGAAATATCACAATGAAGCCTGTTACTTTGTACCATTAGTACATACGAATTAGAAAAATACATATTGTTCAAAATAATTCTGGAGTCAGCTAAGTCACTTGACGTGAGTTGTGTCCATTTTCCCCCAAAGTGCGGAGTGGCATAATTTAAAAATAGATCTTTGCTCCAAAAACTGTTTCACAATCTTATAGGTACCTTAGTTTCTATGGTTTCAGCAAACTAACTAATACTATCTGAACATAGAAAAGTAGACTAGTCAAATGATTGTGTTTGTCAGCATAAGCATGTACATCCCAGGCTGGAATTAACTAGCTTGTTAAAAAAATAATGGCATATAGGGGCTAGGAAGATAGCTCAGGAGAAGAGTATCTGTCTGGTGGATACAAAGCTTTGGGTTCTACTCCTAGCACCAAATAAATAAATGAATAAAAAAATTAAAACAGAAATAATCCAAGTCTAATTAGGATGCAATTTAAACTTATGACTTTTGTTTCATTTTGTTTTTCGAGACAGGGTTTCTCTGTGTAGCTTTGGAGCCTGTCCTGGATCTCGCTCTGTAGACCAGGCTGGCCTTGAACTCACAGAGATCCACCTGCCTCTGCCTCCCGAGTGCTGGGATTAAAGGCGTGCGCCACCGCCGCCCAGCTTATCTGACTTTTTAAGGAGAACATATTCAATTATTTTTCCTTTTGGGGGTGTGTATACGTGTATAGACAAGTGTACAGATGAACTTTCCTGTGCATGTGTGTATAGATCAGAGGTCAATGTCAGACATCTTCCCCTGTCACTGTTCACCTTATTTATTGTTTGTTTTGAGACAGGGTCTCTCACTGAACCTGGAGCTCATGGCCAGCAAGGCTTGCTGGCTGGCCAGGGAACCCAGGGGTCTGCCTGTCTCGCCCTTCCAGAGCTGAGATTTCAGGCACAAGCAGACATGTATGGGGTTTCACCTGTGCTCAGGTCCTCATGCTTGCACAGAAAGCATTTTACTAACTAAGCCTCTTCCCAAGGCCCATATTCAAGGTTTTATTTAAGTGTCTTTAGCGTTAAAAAAAATTTTAATTTTAAAACCGTGCGTCAATGTGTTTACATTCCCATGTGCACATGAGGGCAGGTACCTGTGGAGGACAGTAGTGGGAACCCCTGGAGCTCCAGACATTTTGTGAACTGCCTAACACAACTGCTGGGAAACAAACTAGGGTCTTCTGCCAAGAGCAGTACATATTCTTTTTTTTCTTTTTTGAGACAGGGTTTCTCTGTGTAGCCCTGGCTGTCCTGGAACTCACTCTATAGACCAGGCTGGCCTCAAACTCAGAGATCCACCTGTCTCTGCCTCCCAAGTGCTAGGATTAAAGGTGTGCCACCACTGCCCATCAAGCAGTACATATTCTTAACCACTGAATCATTTCCCCAGTCCCCATCACCCTTTTTTTGTTTGTTTGTTTTGTTTTTTGAGACAGGGTTTCTGTGTAGCTTTGGAGCCTGTTCTAGGACTTGCTCTGCAGACCAGGCTGGCCTCGAACTCACAGAGACCCGCCTGCCTCTGCCTCCAGAGTGCTGGGATTAAAGGCGTGTGTCACTATCACCGGGCTCCCTTCCCCTTTTTAATTGATCAGTTTTGTGTGTCAGGGTGAGATGTATGCATGCCACAGTATGTATGGAGGTTTTTAAGAGGTCAGAGCTAACTTGCAAGACTCACTTCTCTTCTTCCATCATGTAGGTTCCAGGGACCAAACTCAGGCCATCAGGCTTGGGGACAAGCACCTTTACTGGCTGACCCATCTTTTGTGGCCTTGCTGTTAGATTTTTAACAGAATAATGGGTAGAAAGACAAAAACGAATGTGTGGTATTGTTGTTATTTTCGAGACTGGGTCTCGATGCATAGCCTTGGCTGACCTGGAACTCATAAGCAATTGGCCTGCCTCTCCTTCTGAGCTCTGGGATTAAAGTGGTATCACCGGGGGCTGGAGAGATGGCTCAACGGTTAAGAGCACTGGCTGCTCTTCCAGAGGTCCTGAGTTCAATTCCCAGCACCCACATGGTGGCTCACAACCATCTGTAATGAGATCTGGTGCCCTCTTCTGGCCTGCAGGCATTCATGCAGGCAGAACACTATACATAATAAATAAATAAATAAACAAACAAACAAATAAATAAATCTTTTAAAGAAAAAAGTGGTATCACCGATCCCAGCATGACACATGCTTACAGTTACTTAGTCGGAGAAAATACATATCGCTGAAAAGAAACTGACAGGAAAATTCAACCAAAAAAGGTGATGAAAACAAAAAGACTTAGAAACATTTTTCTTTTAGCTTTTGGACATTTGGTATCTCCCACTTGGTACCCTAGAATATGGGACACTAACTGAACCATCGAATGTGCCTTGCCTTTACTTCAGTCCTGGACTCTAAAAGTCTCTTTAGTAAATTTTTATGGTTGTGATGGGAGAGCATGTCTGCAATCCCAGCATTGTGAGACAGGCCAAAGCCAGAGCCTTGGCTACGGAGTGAGTTGAGGCCATTAGGCCAGCCTGTGAAAAATGTATGCACAGCAAATGCCCTCTCTCAAACACCACTACCACCACCACCACCACCACCACCACCACCACCACCACCACAAAAGGGAGGTAGAGAGAAGAAAATGGTAGGAGATGGGACAGGAGTGAAAGAAATGCTTCCACTTGACTGGCATGTTGTGGGGTTTTTTTGGGCAAGATTTAAAAAAAAAATCTGATAATAAACTATCTTGGCATCCCCCCTCCCCTTCAAAGAAAGTCAGTAATTTCGAATTTGGTTATGCTGAGCTTGCCATTTGGAGATGCCCTCCCTCCCCAAGTCTTGGTTTCTGAAAATTTCTTAAATGTTCATAAAATCAAAGAGCCAGGCAGATGTATGTGAGTTCGAGCCAGCCTGGGCCACAGAGTGAGTTCCAGGACAGGAGCAACGCTACAGAGAAACCCTGTCTCAAAAAACCAAAAAAAAAAAAAAAAAAAGCCAGCCTGGTCGATGAGCAAGTTCCAAGACAGCTAGGGCTATACAAAGAAACCCTGTCTCTACCCCACCCCCCTCCCGAGACAGACCAGGCTGTCCTCGAACTCATATAGATCCGCCTGATTCTGCCTCGAGAATGCTGGGATTAAAGGCGTGTGCCACCACCGCCCGGCAGAAACCCTGTCTTAAAAAACCTTTTGGTTTTACAACAACAAAACCCAAAGCTACCTTAAAGGTTTAACTGGACTGGCAAGATGGCTAGGTGAGTAACGAGGGCAACTTGCTACCAAGTTTGATCCTGGTGTCCACATGATGGAAGGGAAGCACTGATTCATGCAAATTGTCCTTTGACCTACACACACACACACAGCAAATAAAATAAAAATAAGTTTTAACTCTTGCAGTCTACCAGCAGAGGCATGTAGTCTATTCAGGGCAGGCTTTTGGTCACTTCCCAGTTTTGCCCTCCTTTATGCCAAATCTGCAAAGTTTATATACCCCTCTTTATCAGCCTCAAACTCATTCTGTACAAGGCGAGGTATACATAAATCAAAGTATCACAGATTGCAGCAAGTAAACAGCAATTACTACCTAGTGGTAGATAAAGCCTTTAAGACAGTCTGTACTTGGAAACTCCAAGCTGAAGACGTGGTGACACACACCTGTTAACTACAGCACTGGGGATAGCAGAGACAGGAGGATGACCAATTATACGCCAGCCTGGGCTATACAGCAAGACCCTGTCTCAAACCGAGCAAACTTATTTTCGAAAAACTTCTAGGCAAGCCAATAATTTTTGAGGAGCATAACTGCGGGGCGGATCTAATTGCTAAGAAAGGATCCTTTAGAGCGAGCCAAATTCTGCATCATTTCAATAGCCCTGGACCAATACTCAGTTTCTCCTCAGAAGCCTTCCAGCATTTGAAAAACAACTTTTGTGCCTGTTAATCTTCTGTTCAGTTTTTCAGTTGTCCCCCTTCAACACAGATTTCCAAGCATGTCAACCTACTAAATAAATCACCTTCCTCTCCTATACTCTACTTACAAACGATCCTCTAAAAATCTTTCCAAACTTAAGCAGATCCCTGTTCTGTGCTCACAAAGCCTAACGGGACTATTTCCCCGCCTGGACTAGACATTAACCAAGATTAATGAGATTCGGGTTTTCACACAATGTTCCTAACCTCAGGCTTGTTCGTAACAATTAATCCCGAGTTTAAATCTCTGGGCGAGAGCTAGGGAAAAAAGAAGGCAGTTTCCTTCGGATAACATAAGAGCTCAGCTGAAGGAGCTCACAGAAAAAGCGATTCCGGAAGCAAAAGAAACAAGGTTTTGTTCGAGAAAGCCCTTGGAGGGTGGAAAAGGCTTTCCGTAGAACGGCGCCTCCAGCAGCTGGGCGGGGCCGCTCCTCCCTAGGCAACCTCCCAGAACCACCATGGACGAATCCCCGGAACCAGAACCACAGCTGCTAAACCCGTTCCTCCCTCTCGAAACCTTTCGGCCAACGCTCCTTTTCCCGGCCGCTAGGCTAACCCGGGACTCGCAGGCTCACCGTGACTCAGAACCGCTTCGGAGTCTGGAACCCGCACAGCCGCTGAACAACGGCGCAGCCGGAAGTGCGTCAGGACCCCGCCCCGCGGGAGGGGGCGCAGTCGCCCCTCTAGAAATCCGGGAATTCTCTGTATCCTCATTGAGCCGACACTGGAGCTGTCCTGGACTTGATCTGTCCGGTCCCCACCCCCACCCCCCTTTTTTTTCTATTTCTTTTTTTGTTCTCTCCCTCTCCCCTCCCCCCCCCCCTCTCCCTTTTGTTTTCCTTTTTTTGTTTTTGAGACAAACATCTCATTATGTAGCTGTCTGGCCTGGAACTCTCTGTATACCAGGCTGGCCTCAAACTCAAAAGGATCCTGCCTCTCGCTCAATGAGTAAAGAAAGAGCTTGCTATATATACAAGCGTAAGGACCTAAGTTTGGATTTCTAGTACCATATAAAAAGCCTGTGATACATTACATGCCTGTAATCCCAGTACTGGGAGGATCCCTGGGGCCTGCTCAAAAAAAAAGGTAGAGAAGCAACTGAAGAAGACACTTGACATCAACCTCTGGCCTTTACGTGTATGCGCACACACTTGTGTACATGAGCACAAACAGAGAACAATCTGCCTGAGCTCTTCTTCACATGTGAAGAAACCAGTGTCTCGACAGATCAGATCCAGTGCATACTGGAGTGTGGACAGTAAAGCTGAGAGTAGAATTCGATTCTCTAATTGTGCATGTTTGTTATTTCACCACAGATTTTTTTTTTCCGGTGCTGAGTATGGTACCCAGTGCCTTAGGTGTGCTAGTGCTCCATCATCAAGCTGTTTCCCTGGCTCTGAAGAGATGTTTAAAAATATATAACACTAGAGCTGGATGTGGTGGCACACACCTGCCATCCCAACACTGGGAGCTGCAGGCTGGGTGATCAGGAGTTTAACGTCATTCTCAGCTACCTATTCCAGGCCAGCTTGGCCTTCATGAGACTCTGTGTCAAAAAGAAAGAAAGAAAGAAGAGAGAGAGAGAGAGAGAGAGAGAGAGAGAGAGAGAGAGAGAGAGAGAGAGAGAGAGACAGAAAGAAAGAGAAAGGAAAAGAAGTTAGCAGACAAGACAAAATTATGAGATAAGTTGTCCATTTACATCATGTTAAATCAAGTAATTTTATGATGATCTATGCTTTTTCCATTAATATAACCATGACCATATAATGAGAAAGGAAACAAGGGAAAATTAGTCACTGTGGTGTAGGGCTCTCTGTGGTTTGCCACATGCATGTCTTTTTCAGAAATATATTGATTTCCAATGAGTTCACTGGACAAATACTTCTCAAAAATGTGCTCTATATTGTGGTGGGCCCCAAAACGACTTGACTACACAGCTGCCATGACAGGCTTAGAAGCCCAGACACAGCTTCTGGCAGGCAATACCTGGACCCAGGAATAGCCATAAGCTGACCCCATCCAGTGGGGCCTGCATCTAAGAGGAAATACCTAACATTCCAAACATTCCCTATACCCCTATACAAATCTCAACCAATCAGAGTCCTGAACCCTGGAAATGCCATCACCCCAACCTCGGCTATGATAAAAACCCCACCCTGCCTGGGCTCTGGGCTCTCTGCTCTCACCGCTACATCAAACAGAGGGACCAAGCTCGGAGCTTGAAGATAATAAAGGCTCTTTGCTTTTACATGCGGAATTCGGTCTCCGTGGTGGTCTTTTGGGGGTCCCCGAAATCTGGGCATAACATATATCAGGTATGTATCATGACACAAAAATTTACAAATGACAAATACACAGTTTTGGGATTGGGCAGATGGCTCAGTGGGTAAAGTGCTTGTAAAATATATTACTTTGCTATTGTAATAAAACTACTAAATCAAGGTAACTTATAGAAGGAAGGATTTATGGTCCCAGAGCAATAAGGGTCCACCATGGCTGGGAGGCAGCAGGCCAGGCATGGCAGTTAGAGCAGCAAACTGAGAGTTCACATCTTGAACCTCAAGTAGGGAGCAGCAGAGCACAATGCTATGGAGTACCCAGGGTCCCAGGGATATTGCTACGTCCGGCGTGGGATATCTGAGAGAAAAAAAAATCTATGTATACTATGTTCTTATGTCTGTTAACTTTATTCCTCTAAGACAAAATTCTACCAATTCAGCTATAGCTTCACCAGGCATTCAAGGCAGGAATAACTCTAGACATACCAAGCTCTTTATCCATCTACTTTATTTCTCTGGGAATGAAATCCTGTCTCCATAATTGCAGTTCCGTCCAGCTCCCAAGCTTATAGTCCTGCTAACGACTAAACTCCTATGCTTCCAGCCTCATCTTCGTCCTCTGTATCCTCTTTCTCCATCTCTGCTGCTCTCTACTCCTGGCACTCAGAAAACTCTACCTGAGATCTGCTTACCCTCTATGGAACCTCTGTCTTCCTCTCTTCTCTCTCGCCATGCCCTTCTGTCCGGTTTCTACAGAAAATGCCTGCCCTTTCTTTCCCTGGTCACGTGGTTCTCTGCCTCCTCAGGAATGTTATTCTAACTCTCACCTTGATATGTAAAAACCTCTTTTGTTCTCAGTCAGTTGCTCTGGAGAGCCACTGGGCTTCAGGTCACGGGGGGGGGGGGTGGGGGGGGGGGGGGGGGGGGGGATGGGATGGGGGGGATGGTCTGGTCTGGGCTTCATTTGCACAAGAAACAAAGCTATGAGTCTCCTGCCAGCTTGTCTTTGCTTACTTGACCTTATCCAGGTACTGGCTCCCGCAGGGAAGTTACCTAGAAGTTCAGCAGGTCTGAAAATATTTGAGCACATAGGAATTTCACAGTAGAAGACAGCTGGAATATTAAAGGCTGGATAGCAACAAATATTCATAATAAATGGCTTGCCTTTTGACAGACTCTTGGCCTTCAAGGTATAGCTTTATTTATTTATTTATTTTTTAAGGTATAGCTTTAATACACAGCTGAATCTCTATGATATATTCTTGCAGCCCGAAAGACAATGCAAATGGCTTTTGCACCTTTTCCAGCAAGGCCACACCTCCTAAGCCTTCCTAAGCATTACCATCAACTAGGAACAAAGTATTCAAATGCCCAAGACTATGGGGGACATCTCATTCAAATCACCACTGAGTTCAGATATCCAGAACTGTAACAGGCTTTCTTGGACCACCAACCAGCTCCCAAATCAAGGCATGGAGACTTCTTATCAATTATGAATGCTTAACCTTATCTTATGATTTCCCATGAGCTCTTCTAACTTAATTTAACCTGTTTCTCTTCATCTATGTTTTGCCTCAGGGCTTTTAACCTTTCTTTCATTCTGTAGGTCCTACTTTCATGTTTCCTCCATATCTGTCTGTCTGGTGGCTGCCTGGTTGGCTGGCTTGCCCTGGGGGTCTCCTTCTCTTTCTCCCTCATTCTCTCCTGAGCCTAGATTCCTCCTACAACTTATTCTCTCTGCCTGCCAGCCCTGTCTATCCCTCTACTGCCTAGCTATTGGCCATTCAGCTTTTTATTAGACCACTCAGGTGCCTTAGGCAGGCAAGGTGACACAGTAACACACCTTTACATAATTAAACAAATACAGCATAAGCAAAATGTAACACACCTTTTACTTTTTTTTTTTTTTTTTTTTTTGAGACAGGGTTTCTCTGTGTAGCTTTGCGCCTTTCTTGGAACTCACTCTGTAGACCAGGCTGGCCTCGAACTCACAGAGATCTGCCTGGCTCTGCCTCCCGAGTGCTGGGATTAAAGGCGTGCGCCACCACCACCCGGCATACAAATTTAAAGTAATATTCTGCAACATAAACAAATGTAACACATCTTCACATAGTTAAAGTAATATTCCACAACACCGAATTCATGTGAAAGTCAGATGCAGTCACACACATCTCTGTAATCCCAGCACTCCTACATAGATGGGCTGAGGTGGAGACAGGAGAATCCCTCAAAGTTTTCTAGCCAGGTAGCCTGATGTGTGTGGTGGGAAATTAAAAAAGAGGTCCCGTGTCTACGGAAGGCAAGGACCAATATCTGCCCCTGAACCTCAACACTGAAGCATGGCTTATGTGTTGTCATTTGTATGTGCGAGTGTGTACATGCACGCGCGCACACACACACACACACACACACAGATCTTATCATGCTTGTGAACAAATCATTACAGATGCAGTCAGTGATAAGGAAGAAGAGCCAAATATGTGGCTGACTGAACATGTTGTCATGGGTACCCTCAGGCCAACCTCTCACGACATGTCCTTATTCTTGCTACAGCCACCATTTGCTTCTGTTCCCTTGGCCAAGGGCTGACTGTTTGAATTAGCTGTTGACGAAAACAACTTAAGAAAGGTAGGAAGGGTTTTAATGGCTCACAATCTGAGGGTGTAGTCTACCATGGTGAAGGCATGAAGGCAGACTGAGGCAGTGGTCACACTGAATCCACAATTGAGAAACAGAGAAGGCGCGCAGTTCACTCTCTCCTCTTTATTCAGCATGTGACTCCAGCCTATAGAAGGAACTGCCCACATTTAGAGTGGGTGTAAGGATTCTGTATACCCCAGCTCAGGGGTCTCGATGGGCGCCTTATTATGTCATCAGCGGGCGACTTCTTCCCAGCCTAAAAACCGGACATGCACCCCCACGCTTACTCTCTCTCTCTCTCTCTTTCTCTGCATCTCTCTCTCTGTGTCCTATCCCCTCTTCTCTCTAATAAAGCCCATTCTAACTCTGGTAACCATGGCTCGTGACTCTTCTGCCGCCGACCAAACCAGTGCCATATACCCTTTCATTTTTCTTTTCTTTTTTCTTTTTCTTTCTTTTAAATATGGAAGGCTTCACGAATTTGTGTGTCATCCTTGTGCAGGGGCCATGCTAATCTTCTCTGTATCATTCCAATTTTAGTGTATGTGCTGCCGAAGTGAGCACCATATAACCTTTCAGTGGGTAGTCCCATTTCAATGAATCTAATCTAGATAATCCCTCACCAACATGCCCAGAGATTTGTTTCCATAGTAATTTTAAACCCTGTAGGAACTGACAATCATGATATACTATTACACTAATCTGGAAGAAAGTTCCTTAGTTGCAAGTCCTTCAGGTCAGGCAAAACTATGCTTTCCTTTTATGTCACAAAATGTATAGTTTTTGTTGTTTTGAGATGGGGTCTCAACATGTAGTCAGCCTTCTGCCTTAGTTTTAGGAATCCTGGGATGAGAGGCCTGCACCGTCACTCCCGACTAGTCAGCCTTCTTGGTAGGGCTTTAAAATGCCTGAGAAGGGGCTGTGGTTGTGGTTTAGTGGGTAAAATCATTCGCCACAGAAGTGTGAGGACCAGAGTGTGAATCCCCAGCACCCATATTAAAGCCATCAATGGCCACATACTAGTCTGTAACCAGGTTCAGTGAAAGACTATCTCAAGGGAATAAGGTGGAGAGCAGCAGAGCAGGACACCTGATGTCCTTGTCTGGTCTCTGAGTGCATGCACTGCATATCATTTACACACACCACATTCACGTTCATGTTTGCAAAATCAAAATCACCCTAAAAATACCCTACTGCATTCCATGATCATGTCATGAAACTGCCTCTAAACCTTGGAGTATAAAATGTAAAATGTGGGCTGTAGAGATGGTTTAGCAGGCAAAGGCACTTACCACCAAGCCTGAGGGTTTGAGTTCAATCCTTCGGACCCACATACTGGAAGGAGAGAGCCAACATGTGGCATGTGTACACACACACACACACACACACACACACACACACACACACACACACACACAATAAATAAATAAATAAATAAATAAATAAATAAATAAATAAATAAATAATAAATGTAATTTTAAAAAAGATTTAAAATGTGGATGGCTTGGAGACTTGTACTCTTCACTGTCCTTTCTCTACACCATTCCATTTTGTTTTCTACAGAGATTGATTCAACAAAGATGGATTCCCATTTGTGTGTCACAGAAATCCAGCAGGGGAAATCTCAGCAGTTTCACTGCGGTTCCTGACTCCTTCCTGTTCTTTCAAGGTTGGTTCTCCCCTCACCCCTCCTTCTCTCCCTCTGTCCCTCCCTCCCAAGCTATTCTTTTCTCCCCCACTCCCCTCCTGCCTTCCCTTCCCTTCCACCCATCCATCTCCACACCCACCAGGCTCTCGGAATGTAGTGCCTTCAACTCACAATCCTCCTGCTAAGCCTCTGAGTGCTGGGATTACAGGTACGCTCCATCACACCCAGTATTCGTGGTGATCCCTAAGATCCTTGTTTTTCTTTTTTCCCAAGACAGTTTCTCTGTGTAACAGCCCTGGCTGTCCTGGAACTCTCTTTGTACACCAAGCTGGCCTTGAACTCACAGAGATCCGCTTGCCTCTGCCTCCCGAGTTCGGGAATTTAAAGGCCTGTTCCACCATGCCCAGCAGATGGTCAGTGGTGGATACAGGTGCTGGAAGACTTGCTCAGAGAAGCATGGCAGCCCACCTTCTACCTTGCCCCACGCATGTCTTCACCTGGCTTGTTCACTATGGTGCTGGTTAGTTTTTATGTCAATTTGACCCAAGCTAGAGAGTCAACTGGGAGGAGGGAACCCCAAGTGAGAAAATGCTTCCATAAGATCTAGCTGTAGGCAACCCTGTAGTGCATTTTCTTAATTCATGATTGATGGGGGAAAAGAGCCCAGCCCTATTGTGGGTGAGTCCAACCCTGGGCTTGAGGTCCTGGGTTCCATAAGAAAACAGGCTGAGCAAGCCTGTAAACAATACTCTTCATGGCCTCTCCTGCCTCCTGGTTCCTGCCTTGGCTTCCCTCAAATGGACTGTGTGATTCAGGATATGTATGCCAAACAAATCCTTTCCTTCCCAAGTTGCTTGTGGTCATGGTGCCTCTTCACAGCAATAGAAAAGTAATTAAGATATTTATCCTTTTATTTTTTTAAATGCTTTATTTTTATGTGTGTTTTGCCTAACGTGTTAGAGGCCAGAAAAGGGTGTTGGAATCCTCGAGACTGGAGTTATAGATGGTTGTGAGCCACCATGTGGGTGCTGGGAATTGGACCTGGGTCCTCTGGAAGAACAGCCATTGCAATGAGCTATCTCTCTGGCCACTATCTATCCTTTCTAATAAAGAGGTAGAGGCTGTGAAAACCACTGATTCACAGTTAGCCAGAAGTTCAGGTGGCAGCTGGAGACTCCTGGCATTTGAGGTGAGGACAGTTTTGTGGGACTAAGTCCCTTAACCTGTGGAGTCTGCACTAACTTCAGTTAGGGTGGGAATTGACTTGCAGGACATTCAGTCATAGGTATCCAGAGAACCATGAAACCAAACCAACCGACCACCATCCTAACTGACATTTGATGTCAGAAGTGTTCTAAGTAGGAGGTTCCTCTTTGGAGTTTGAGATGGTCTCACTGTCTGACCTGGAACCTATTCTGAAGACTAGGCTGCGCTTCAATTTGCAATGATCCTCCCGTTTCTGCCTCCGAGGGTGCTGGGATTCAGTGCACCACCATGCATTTGGATATGTGTACATACACATTTGTGCTTGCTGATGCCAGGGGACCACCGTGGGCATCATTTCTCAGAAGCTGTCCACCTTTTTTGCTTTTGACAATGGGTCTCTATCTTGGTTGGAACTAACCAAGTAAGCTAGGCTGGCTGGCCAATTAACCCTAGAATCTACCTGTTCCTACCTCCCCAACCCAGCCCTTCTTTGCTTGAGTTCTGGTATTCACTCAGGTCTAGACTGATTGAGCTATCTCCCCAGCCCTGAAACCATAACTTGAATATAACCAAAGGATGACAAAACGAAAACATCTATACACAAAAACAATCACCAGTACTGCCTGCTGGGAACTTATTTCACTAAGACCCAGGAGACAACAGAACACTTGCTACATATCTCATCCCCCACCCCCACCCCCACCCTTACTACTTTAACATCTCAACAGACCTCACTTGTCTCCTAAAGTGGACCACTGACTGTTATCAAGTGCACTCTCTCTCTTTCCTCTTCTTCTTCCAGGATCTCACATAGCCCAGGCTGGCCTCAAACTTACCATATAGCCAAAGATGACCTTGAATTCCTGATGCTCTTGCCTCTGTTGTCCCAGTGTTCAGATCACAGGTGTGTGCCACCTTACCTGGTTTAGGTGGTAGAGGGGTTGCACCTTGGAGTTAAGGCAAGCACTCTACCAATCTCACTAGATGCCCAGCTTTCCGTTTCTCTTTTGAAACTTTAGCTCTCAACCAATGTTTCAGCTTATTTTTGAAAGAGTTCTTTAGCTTTAAGGGAAACATAGAAACAAATTCAAAAGACCCGTTGTTCTTCTAAATCCCATTATTTAGCAAAAGGAGCCTTTATAGAAATATGAATGAGGATTTAAAACAAATTCCATTTAAAAGTATTTATTGAACATCTACTAAGCATCTGGACTCTTCAGAGGCTGGTCAAATAAAAAAATCCAGTTTTTAACAGCAATGATTTAATCCTGCTGACATACAAAGTTTGTTCTTTGGGTCTAATTGATGCTAATATAAGCTGGGAATGAACAAAACAGGATCGTTTATCTAGCCTCTAAACAAAAAGACAGTGCCTGAGTTAACTATAGATTTATGCTTAGCATGTTGACCTGGTTATAACAATCTTTAACTAAAAGTTTATAAAAATACACTCAAAATAATTGTTTTTGCTTGCATAACCACCCTAACCCTTAACGCTCATATTCTCAGGACAAGATTTTTCTGTTTAATCACTATCTTCCTCCCACCCATACCCCACAAGTTGCAATAAACTGGTAATCCTCACTACCAGCAGAAGCATTTCTTTTGGGCAGGGACAATGCTGGAGACTGCATCCAGGGCCTTGCATATGGTAGGCAATTGCTCTACTCCTGAGTCACACCATAGCCCATTACTGGGGTATTCTAGCAAGTGCTCTGCTTAACCATGCCCCACCTCTCACTAGGGAATTCCATGCAAGTGCTGCACCACATCCTGGGGCCACTCACCCTCAGGGGACACTCTAAGTAAATGTTCTTTACTGAGCCATACCACTCACCAAGGAAGTCTACCTAAGTCTTACACTCTAGTCCAGCTAGGGCAGACTGGCAACTTCAAGCTGTTACCAGTTAAGACGAGGAGGTGGTGAGGAAGCACCCCATCCCCCACCAGAGATGTCTTTCTGCCCTCCGTATTTTCTTAGCAGATCATGAGGCTATTGGAATGTTCTTAGCCGTTCTTTTGTAACACATCTAATTTTGTCCAGAGACTACAGGATAAGTGAGACTCAGTGTGACTGGTCCCCCTTTTGTGGACCAAAAGGATTTAACCCCAATCTCAAACTGGAATGAAATACAAGTTTTGGTCCAGCCTCTTCCAACCTTTCACAAATCTCATTCTTTCTATCTTTGAACACTGGACCACATTTACTTAGCGAGTGCTTGTGAACTGAAACCATTTTAAAGACCAATTAACTTGGCTAAGGGCCGTGTAATTTGAAGTTGAGTCAGTTTTTTTGGAAGGGGGTGTGTCGAAACCTCCAATAACAACCAACAAACAAAACCCCAAAAAACCAGACCTCAAAAATCACAGCAGACCATGATTCCGTTTTTTTCCATTGGGACCACGGTTCAGAGCTGGCTAATCTTCATTCTCTCCATTCTGCTGTTTAGAATATTAGAGAAAAGCATGGGATCAGTGGGACCAACTAGGAAAGAGAACCAGACAACAGGAAACGAAGTTCTCATATGAAGACGTTAGTTATCATGGAATGGCAAAAGGACTTCCCAAGCTTATGTTTGACCTGCAGTGTTAGAGATGGCTTACCTTACCTATAACTTCAAGTTTGTTTTACAAAGTTTTGAAAAGCAAAACAAGTATTATCAGACATAATACAAAATCTGAATAGCAAAATAAGCAACTGCTTTAAAATGTACAGTAGTATTTCCATACGAAGAGCAAAGCGTAGATCTATGTTAGAAAAACTTTCCAACAATGCTCATTGTCTCTAGTTGTAGCTGAAATAAAAATCTACCCTAACTTCTATGAAGTGATCTATTTATACCATTTAAGTTTGCCTCTCTGGTTCTATATTTCATTCAATGCACAGACCTTTGCTTCTCTAATAGGGAATTCCAACATATTCCTATTTCTGTGGACACAGGCTGGCTGTGAATTTGTGATCTGTCTCAGCCTCCTGAGTGCTGGGATTACAGGCCTGTACCACTACGCTTGGCTCCCTTATAGATATACACACATACTTATATTTTTTGATAGGATCTCCTGCAGTTTAGGCTGGTCTCAAACTCCGATCCTCTTGCCTTTACCTCCCACGTGCTAGGATTACAGTGCCGCCGACACATCTTTTAGATGAAATCCTGGGGATGGAACCACACCCCCAGCCCTCTCATGCACACTTCTGAGAGTGGACGCAGAAAAGGGCTCTCCTGGCAAGCTTGCTGTATTGAGTGTTCCAGCTTTGTCACTGCAAGTGACAAAATTAGCCTTCCACAAGGATGGCAAGGTGAACCTGATTAAATTCCCTTTTGATAAACAGATCAGCATACCTATTGGAAATAAAGTTGACAATTCTAGGATTAAAAACTTAAACCAATAAATATTCACAGCTATGAATTTTCAGTCTCCTAAGCATAAATGTGCCAGAGAATGGGAGCAAGGACAGGCCTTGCAGTAGAGTTAAAGCAAATCTCCCAATGCTTCTCAAACTCTTGAGATAGCTAGCCCCCACCTCCCCACCAAGACCCAGTGTGTTTCCTGGAAAACAGCCCTTCCTGTGGGCCAAGTCTCCACGTGTCTAAGAACAGAGGGTTATGAGAGGGAAAACAGAACTGTGGTACTATGGTTCACAGAATCTGGGCAGGCTAGCTGTTCTGTATACTTCCTATCCTCTGCTGAGTGTACGTCCCCTCAAATATATTAACAATGGAGAAGGCCCTCTGCCCACCGCCAAGCCAGAAGCCACCCATTCCCTTTGATTGGTATAGACCAGGCAGCTTGGAAGGGGCATTTACAGAAGCTGCTCCACTTCGTGTTCTACTGATCTCTTCTCACAAACTCAACAAGCACCAGCCTGAGAAGTTTTCTCCCCACGCCTAATTCTGTGAACTAATTATGTTTACAACCACACCAGCTTCTTAATTATTCCAAAACTTCACTTTTCTCTTCGGTGATCCGTTCTGTTCAACAGATTCGAACAGGTTTACAAGGACTATAAAGAATGACAGGCCAGCCTGGGCTACAGAGCAAGTTCCAGGACAGGCTCCAAAGCTACACAGAGAAACTCTCAAAAAAAAAAAAAAGACAGGAGGGGTGAGGTACAAAAACACACTGACATTATGGCCTTACAAAATATATCGAGGTACCCAAGTTAACAATTTCTGTAAGAAGTTGTACATTTTTACTAGTTCTTTAGCATTTCCCCATACTTGTTTCCTCCTGTGGATCCTCTGGAGTTAAGACTGAGCTCTCTTGGCAGTTTCTGGAACTTACTGCATGACTGGAACAGACCAAGGGAATTTCACGTCCAAAGCAATGAGTACTATGAAGTTGGCCTCACAGACATTAAGAGTTTATTTACAGTGTAAGCTTTGCAGACATCACACTCAGACTAGGTCCCATTCTGGAATCAATTTTCTGATGTATATAAGGTGTGGACTGTCCCCATATTAAACATGTCAGTCTCTTTACACACAGTTAGCAGTCTCATGTTTATGCCTTTAATATCAAGTGCTTTACATATCAAGTTGTCTCACACATCTATGCTTAGCCTTGCCTGCCAGGCTGAAGTAGAAAGTCCACAACTTGAAGAATTTGACTTTTGTCATAAGGTTAAATTTCAGGTAAAAAGTCTTCAAAAAAGTCCCCTCAGGTCAACATTAGCATGCTAATGATTAACTAGTAAGCACTTAACTGGTAACAGCCATCCTGAGCACTACAGATGTCAGCCTTTTGGACCATGATGCAGTGATACCGTGCCGAACATCTAAGACATTTTGACAACCACCTATAACCTGCTTTGTAAGTAAAACACATCTTCCGATGGCTGCCTCCAGGAGTGCATCTGTGGAAGATCTGAAGCCACTCCAGTGACTATCTAATAGCAACATGTCCCAATAAAACGGGAACCAAATGAGGGGTGGGTGGGGGGGCACAGACCTGTCTTAATTTCATTTAAAACCAAAGCCCTGGAGTGCCGGCTGAAGTATGTCAGCATGTAGTTGTGTACATCTGTGTATAAGCAGCCAACAGGGAGATGACCAAAGTCCTTTCTTGGGATCAAAGCCAGTGACTGGATGGGCTCCCAGGGTCCTGAACCTTATTTCAGTTGCTTTTTAGCAAGTCAGAGTTCTCACAAGTGCACGTGATTCATTCCTTTTGTAAGAGCCTTAAAGCATCTCCAGCTCCACCTCACTCCAGGTGAACCGGTGTAGCCTTTGGAGCGTCTCTGCTGCTTTTCGGTTAGGTGGACACAAACACTCACAGGCAGCTCTGAGCAAACAGCTTAGACACTGTCACTCACGTGTGACTGGTCTAAGAAAGTCAAAGAGGGACCAGATCATGATTGCTTGTAGGATTCTAGTTTGACCTGAAACTGAGGCCACACAGGCACCAACCTGATGAGACCTGCTATTGCGTCTCACGGACTTTTGATGCTGGTTAATGCAAGATGATTTTCATTGTTTCTTGAGGGGAAATCTCAAACCGTTCGTGGGGTGTTCATGTCAATAGTCTTCAAGTTTATCTTTAGCTTATGTTTCTAGGGCTCTGCAGGGCTCTCCACACTTTCATGCTCTCATTAACAGAGTGGTCTGTTCAAGCCCCCGACACCTACGTAGTCCAGACTTGGGTCTCCTGTACGTGTTAAGTCTCCATCAAGAGCTTCTGGGAAGCCACCTGCAGAGATATAGGAAAGGCTAAAGTCCCCCAAACTCACGTCAGTCTTTCAGGAGAGATTAAAAAAGACGCCGTGTGCTATTAAACACAATGACACAACCAACCATACCACAGTGTGGTGGTGGAAGTCCCAGAGCAAGAGGACATCTTCAGCTACTGCCAGCTAATGACAGATACTTCTACAAGTCTCTGCTCAAATGTGGAAAAAATGCTCCCTTTAGCTTTCCCTTTTTCTGAGAATTAAAAACAAAAACAAACAAAAGGACAATAACAACAAAAACCCATCACATCTTTTGAAGAGCTTTAGCTAAATTTTGAACAACTCAGCAAATACTCAAAAGACAACTACTCAGCAGCTGACCGAGAAGAATTCTGGCCAAGAATAAGAGCTTTGAGTGGAATGATGTCACACAAACAAACAAAAACTTTATAGTTAGTGTTCATATTTTTCTTCTGTAAGTGGATGACCAAAGTCATTTTTTGACATTCTGTGGTATTTACTTACTGATCCATGTTTACAGAGTCTCTGCAGGCAGCTAAACAAGCTTTTGCTTATACTTAGGACAAAAATTACATTGTCCCTAGAATAAGTTAGAGCACGGCCTAGAGCTCTGAAGGTACCGTACTTCAGGTACTCACGATTCACAGGCTCTATCACAAATACGACAGTCCTGTTGGAAGTCTGTCATAAGGAGTGCCTTGTGTGTGTTTAGTATACATCCAGTGCTGTGCTGTCAGGACATAACTGTATTTCTTGACAACTGAAGCATCTTTTCTTTTTTTGGGGGGAGAGGGGTAATAAAAGCTTCCGTATACTGAACGATGAAGGATTAAAAGACAGTATATAATCAAGTGCCAACTTGTGGAGAGTGCATTTAGGAGTGCTAGAATGCTTTAGGGACATTGAAGAGGGAGAGAAGCATCTTCAATTGTTGCTATTTCAGTAGGCCTGACCTCGCCAACGATGGCAGAGACACCCACATTTGTTACAGTCCGTAGAACTACAAACTGGTGCATATACCCTCTCTTTCAGAGAGATAGAAATCTTTGGTTTGATTCTGATCAGCAAAGTCCTAGATTTCTATAGCTTTGGCAGGTTACCAGTGATCAGATAGACAACTTTCTGGATATATAACTTGCTCGAGCAGCATGTCCCGATGTAGTTTTTGTATTAACTGTCTCTCTTCATTAAGAAATACAGGTTGTCCAAGTAGGCCTTGTTGGCAGCACGTGGCTTCTTAACTTCAGTGGAATACTCACAGAGCTAGTCTTGATTGGTATACCCATTACTGGAAAGCTTGGCATTTCACTGTGTGTGCTTTTATCGCGAGTGGAAATATTTTGAAGGATATCGTAGGACCAGCTCTCCCTTGCAAGGACTCTAAGAATTACATGCCTATAGACCACCTGAAGGCAGAACACTGTCGATGTAACTCTTAAGGATCCTTACGTGTGACTTCTCAAACAATTTGATGGTGTTATTACATTTCCCTTGATGGCCATATATGTCTGACATAATTTTAGAAACAAAGCGGGGAAGTGGTTTGATGACATGCTATTGCTTTACACACAACTTTTCAGGAATGCTCCAAAGGCATCCAGAGAGGCTGGGCTGTATTCTGAGGCTCTCTCTCTGGCATGGATTCTATGGTGCAGCGTGAGGGTTGAGCTCCGGGTGAAGGCCTTACCACACTTAGTGCACTTGTAGGGCTTTTCTCGAGTGTGAATTCTCCGGTGCAAAATAAGGTATGAGTTTCGGTTGAAAGCTTTTCCACATTCACTACATTCATAGGGCTTCTCCCCCGTGTGGATTCTCTGGTGCTTCGTGAGGTCTGAGCTCTGGCTGAAGGCTTTGCCACACTCATTACATTCGTAGGGTTTCTCTCCAGAGTGGATGCGCTGGTGCAGGATGAGATTTGAGCTATGACTGAAGGCTTTGCCACACTCGTTACATTCATGAGGTTTCTCTCCTGTGTGGATTCGCTGATGTAGGACAAGGTTTGAATTGAGACTGAAGGCTTTCCCACACTCATTACATTCGTAGGGCTTCTCTCCAGTGTGGATGATTTTATGGCGGATAAGGCTGGAGCTTCTTGTGAAGCATTTCCCACACTCATCACACCTATGAGTCTTTGCTCCCGATGGAAGCTCTTCGGGGGTGTTATTAAAGTTTGCACTCAGGCTGAAGCTTCTTCCCAGACCTTTGCCCTTCTCCCTTGGGCCCCTCTCTCCTGCAGCGGGCTTCTTTTCCTTGGCTGTAGGTGGCCCAGGCTCTTTCTTCTCTTTGCCAGTTTTTTCTTCAGGGTTTCTCTGCTGCCTTTCAACTACTCTGCTCTGCTGTTCACGTTTCTCTCCAAATTCTTTCTGGAATCTTCCTGCTGTCTCCCCACGTAAGGTGGAATCTTCTTTGACGTCAGCCTTTGAGGTTGACTCATTCCCATTCCTGTTTTCAGAACCTGACATGATAAATAGAAAATATGAATAGGACCATTTTCTTCTGAGTACGGGTAGTAATACAGTGACATTATTTTCTAAGAAACTTCCATATACCTGGGAAATGACTTCACAGCATTAAAGACAAAAGTAGGAAAAGGGAAAACGTTAGTGACAATGGGTTACAGAGCTGGGATGGAGGTGGAAAATCATAGTATTAGTAAAGAGTACAAAGAAGGCCAGGCATAGTGGTGCACATCCAGCATTCACTAAGCTGAGGCAGGAGAATTACCAGTGACCAGTTACATAGCAAAACCCATCTCAAAGGGAAAAAGAAAAAAAAAAAAAGTTACATACCAGTTTGGGTTACATAGCAAAACCCATCTCAAAGGGAAAAAGAAAAAAAAAAAGAGTGAAAAGGATGTAAAGGGTGTGAATAAACAGGCATGGCGTGGTGAGGAGAACAAAGAAAGTTAAGGAAGGATAAGGAAGGAATTGAGAAGCTTCACAGGTTGTTATATCATACGGCCATCTGTAACTAATTTGAAGGAAAACATATTTAGCCAGTCACAGCTGGCCGTGGTGGCACACGCCTGTAATCACAGCACTCTGGAGGCAGAGGCAGGTAGATCTCTGTGAGTTCAAGGCCAGTCTTTTCTATAGAGTTCCAGGACAGCCAGGGTTACATAGAGATTCTGTGTCAAGAAAAAAAAAAAAAAGAAGTCACATTGTAAACTTAATCCCAGCACCAGAGAAGAAGAGGCAGGCAGATCCCTGTGAGTTCCAGGCCAGCCTTGAGACCTTGTCTCAAAAATAAAATACAATAATAAGAAATAAAGTGAGATTTCGAGCAAATATTTGTAAGTCTTACAAAAAGAGAACAGGCAAGTCAAGTCGTTCTGAAGAACTGGTCAGTGGTGTTGGCAGAGGGAAGGCCAAGCAGACACTCCTCAGCTCCACCACACTTTATCAACAAGGAGATGGTTAGATTATAGGGCCCCTTGACACAGCAAGCAGTTTTTCTCCACCAGGAAGAACAGCACAGAGCTATCTGAGCTCCTGGAACGAGAAGGGATGAAGGAGCTATCTGGGGATTCATTACCAAAATAGCTAAAATCTTTACCAACTGACAGCTAAGGCTGACAGGAAAGAAACAACTCCTGAGACTGTAATCAGAAGAACCAGAAAACAGAATTTACAGTGTAGAGTTAATCTCTGTATTTTAGCAGCCAGCGTATTAAAATACTTAAGTTTAATTTTTATTCCACACTACTAGATCCCATGTATCACTGTTTAAAAAAAACAACCAACAATTAGTGTGTGTGTGTGTGTGTGTGTGTGTGTGTGTGTGTGTGTGTGTGTGTGTGTGTGTTTTGCCTGCATGCATATGTCTATGTACCATGTGCATGCCTGGTACCTGCAGAGGTCAGAAGAAGGTCTTAGATCTCTTGGATCTGGAGTTACAGATGGTTGTGAGCTATCATGTGGCTGTTGGGAATTGAACATGGGTCCTCTGGAAGAGCAGCCAGTGCTCTTCACTGCTGAGCCACTTCTCCAGCCCCTAAACAATTCTTAAAAGCATCTATTTATTTATTTGTTTGTTTGTTTGTTTAGTATTTAGCGTATGTGTGAGAACCATGACCTATGTGTGGAGGTCAGAATACAACCTGTGAGACTCAGTTCCCTCCTTTCAATATGTGGGTCCTGGGGCTGAACTCAGGCTGTTAGGTATGACAAGTGTCCTTTCCCTACTGAACCATCCCACTGGCCCGCCACTCTGCTTTTAAGCGAAGACTCCAAGAGGGTCTGCACCATTCCAAAAGGCTCCTGAATGCTATGACTAGAGGAACTGGTAATACCTAATCTTTGACTTACTGATGAAATCACCATAATCACTGAGTCAAGCGCAGAAAAGAGAAAGCTGGTCTACCTCTTTTGAATCCAGGCAAAGGTCCCTGACTAGCTGGACAGTTCTCAAGAGAGTTCCTTTTGTTTTCCTTCAACAGTTCTAGCAGTGATAGTTTATAAACAAAGACCAACCAGTTCTTAATTTCTCTTCAGTATAAAGAGCAGGTACCTAAAAACCACCCTCCCCTTTACACCGGTTTCCAAAGCAAACCTGAGCTCCAGTAAAGCCCTTTCTCCACACCCACTTTGCTTATCCTCCCTCTGCCCACCCAAGGTGGAGTTCTTGCTATGAGATCTCCTTTGGGCTTCTGGGCACTGTGTCCTAGGGCTTGAGATCTAGGAGAGGCCCGTGCAACAGCTGTCAGCTGGGTGGGCCATTTTATCTATCTGATGCCCCTGAATCACTCCCCTCTTACATTCAGCACCAAGAGTTCTTCATAGAAGATCATCTTCGGGTTCGGACCTGGGAACCTGATCCTAAGGGAGGGCTAAGGGCCAGGCTCGAGCATCACAACAAGGATACTGGGTAATCTCTATAGAACAGAAAAAGGCAGACATCCAGGGAGGGTGGATGTCTTGGTAAGTTTAGGAACATGGTAAAAATGGGCTGGAGCTGGACTGGTGGTCAGTTTGCCTGGCTACCTCTAGTAGGAGGAGATTCCCCTGACAGAGGCGAGCTGAAGCACCAGAGCAGAAAGAATCCTCCCAGGGAACTGAGCCTCAGAGCAGAAGGGTTCATTCCTGATTTCAAAGAGCAGGATTACCTAGAGGTAACAAACCTCAAGGCTCTAGGGAGTTGGAGTACCACGCCTTTGGAAGTCAACAAACACAAATGTTATCCCTTACTAACCAACACAGAAGCAAAACAATCTTAGCAGACAGGAATTCTGCATCAGTCTTACCCTGGGAAAACACATTCCCCAAATTCTCCTGCCTGCTGTCCCTATTGAGATTCCTCCGAGCCAGGTTCTGACATCCCCACTCCTCCAGGATGAGGGACACGGCCATATCCTCGATCTTCACCATTGCCTGAAATAATAGGAGATCCCCATGCTCAGCAAACCTGAGGTCAGGGATAGAGCTGATGGCAGGACTGTGGGACACTAGGAGAGAACACATGGCCAGACCCTGGTGGACTGAAGGGGTTATGGTGGAAGGACACTAACATTGAGGGGTCTAGGGCTTTTCTCTGGGCTGGGCACCAAGTGACCTGGTAGAGGCTCATGAGAGATGCTCCAGAAAGGGGCAGATACAGGGTCTCAGGAAGGAAGAGGGGCCCATGGCTCACCTGGGAATCTGCGGTCAATAGTGCAGATGCCATCGCCTGGTCTCTGGGATTCCCCTCATGATGAGGGGCAGGAACATGGGTGGCAGGGAGAGCTGAGGAGGAGAAAGGGGCTGTGAGTAAAACAGCTCTTCCCTGAGCCTCCCTCAGTGATGAGCCCCAACATTCTTCTTATACCTGTGATATACAGCATATCACTGTCTGATGTTCAGCTACTAAAAGGCTAGCGCCACAGGATACAGTTGATAGGAAGCAAGACTTCAGCTTCCCAGAGACGGAGCTCATAAAAGCGTCCTTAAAATCACCAGGTCCAAACTTTAAAAGAAGAAAATGAAGCCCTGAAGAGGGTAATGACTATGTAACGCCATTTGGTTTACAATGGTAGGTTCAGTCTAAAGCCCAGGTTCCTATTCTCAGCTTTAGTCAGTAGCTTCAAGGCTTGTATTTTCTTCCAGCACAAGAATAGCACCAGGGCACTAGACTCCCCTTTCTGCCTACACTTGTGAACAACACGTCTTCATGACCACAGGAACACTGAGGGAAAGAAGGGGACCTTCACACTTCTAAGTACACTTCCACCATTCTGATCCTTTCTCCCCCTCTTATTTGGCCACAGTAGCTGTTTGATAAAACCTACACTCTGTTCAAATGTTGATGAGACATGCGAATGTAGGAAGGTATGGGTCAACACACATAATGAAACACAACCGTTAACACAGCGTAGACTATCAACTGTATGCAATGAGTAACAAGAATAAAAAAATTCAACTTTAACATTAAAATTCCTCACTTCCCCATCCTTTGCCAAGCCTCATTAGATCTGGAAATGTTGCTGGTAGACAGAGGTACCAACTGCAAAGGACCACAGAAACAGACCACTCAACCACTACATCTTCTAGCTGTTTCTATCTGTGAGGCGAAATACACACAAGAATAAGACCCTAACACTTAGGCCTTCTCAGAGTTTAGCAAACACTGGAAGATGAACAAGGCAGAGGAAACTGAGAATAAATCCTTGTCTCAATTCATTCGAGAACAATTTAGTAACTAATAACTCTAGCTGCAGTCTATAGAACCACTTCCCTAGCTACCTGAGGCAACAATCTGGTGCTTAGATCCCGAGTGTCCTCCCTAGCTGACACCTAAAGACACCGCCCAAACCATCTGCTGTGGAGTACTCAAGAGTCCCAGCAGGGAATCGACACAGGAGGAGTTAAACATTTACAGCTGCACATGTCTGCTGGCTGCCTTCCAAGACGCCTGGGAAAGAGAACGCTTCTTTAAGTCTACCCTCTGATAGTGCTCCTCTAAACGACCTCACAAATAAAGACCCTGGTGAGGAACGTACTTTAACTCTTCCGTAACTCAGTAACAAACTTAAAGGAAAAGGGTGTGTGTGTGTGTGTGTGTGTGTGTGTGTGTGTGTGTGTGTGCGCGCGTGTCTGTGTGTTCAAGTGCTCAGGTGCCCTTGGAGGCCAGAAAAGGGTGTCAGATCCCCTGAAGCAGAAGTTAAAGGCATTTGTGAGTGGCCTGAGGTAGATGAACGCTGGTCCTCTGTGAGGGCAGCAAGATCTCCTAACTGCTGAGCATCTCTCCAGCCCCTAATATTTACACCTTTGGCAATTGTTCTGATATTCTATGCACCTGCTTTATTTTAAACTCTGATAAAAAAAATATTGTCTATTTCTGTAAAGTGGGCTGGGGAACCAACCAAATGCAATAGATTTTTACAGAAATCCTAAACTAGCATTGTTCCTCAGTCAAAAAGATAATTGTTCCTATTCTCTTCCCTTTGAAAAGTTTAAAGGTAACCTTTGAAAGAATGTTATAAAACAGTTTATATATTTAAATAAATGGATCTTTCGCAGCCAGGACTACACAGAGAAACTCTGTCTCAAAAAATGAAAGCAAAACAAAAACGAAAGGAAAACAAAGCAAAAAGGATCTTTACAAAGATTTACGACCCCCTACAAAGTTATTTAAGAACTACTAACTAAAGTGTTTCGCAACTCAGGCTGGAAGCAGGCCTGGTGTAATCCCAGGACTCAGGAGGCTGAGGGAGGAGGACTGGGAGTTAGAAGCCAGCCTTGGGCTACACAGCAAGATCCTGTCTCAAAACAAACCATTAAGGCTGGAAATAATACACCATTGGTTCTAATATCCTCCACTCAGAATTTGGCTAGACATCTGGAATGCACACAGTTCAACACATAATGTAATGCTCACCGAGTATGGTACATAGTCCACTTACTTCCTTAGTAAACAACATTCAGCCTAAGATCGGTCTGTGAGCTATGCTGTAATAATAAAAGACATAACAACCAAACAAGTATGCTTCTTTAAGGGGTTACCTGGTAACATGGAAAGAGGTACTTCCATCTCAGACCATTTATTTGTCCCCTTCTCCCCATCCTTTTTTTGGGGGGTTGGGGGGAGGTTTGAGGCAGGGTTTCACAGTGTAACAGTCTTGGCTGTCCTGGAACTAACTGGCCTTGACTCACAGAGATCCGCCTGCCTCTGCCTCCTGAGTGCTGGGATTAAAGGTGTGTGCTGCCACTGCTGGGAATCTTTTTTTTTTTAAAGATTTATTTATTTATTATGTATACAGCATGTATGACTGCAGGCCAGAAGAGGGCAGCAGATCTCATTACAGGTGGTTGTGAGCCACCATGTGGTTGCTGGGAATTGAACTCAGGACCTCTGGAAGAGTAGTCAGTGCCATCTCTCCAGCCCCAGAATCTTTTTTTTTTTAAAGGGAGATCAGGCCAGGTCTCACTCCCTCAGTGACCTGGGCTGACCTCAAATGTGTTGTGTAGTTGAGGATGACCTTGAGATTCTCAATCTCCTGCGGCCCTGTCCCGAGTGTCACTAGTGGGCACCAAGCCAGCTTGTTTTGTTTTGCCTTTGAGTCAGGGTCTCACTATGTGGCCATGGCTGGCCTGGAACTCACTATGTACCCCAGGCTGCCCTCGAACTCAGAGACCCTCCTGCTTCTGTCTCCAGAAGGATAAGAGTACAGGACTGTGCCGGGCGGTGGTGGCGCACGCCTTTAATCCCAGCACTTGGGAGGCAGAGACAGGCGGATCTCTGTGAGTTCGAGGCCAGCCTGGGCTACCAAGTGAGTTCCAGGAAAGGCGCAAAGCTACACAGAGAAACCCTGTCTCGAAAAACCAAAAAAAAAAAAAAGAAAGAAAAAGAGTACAGGACTGTGCCATCACGCCTTGTTTCGCAGCGTTGGCGACGGAACCTAGTGCCTCATGTAAGACAGGCTAAGCGTTCTACCAACTGAGCCACACCTCTAACCTGAACGTTTACTTCTCTTCTACACATGAACCCAGCTTCCTACCTCGGGATGGCAAGAGGCGAGGCTTCCGAGATGAATGCTTGAAATGAGAGCGGGTAGCTTCGTGATGGTCAAAGCTTGAGGACTCCTGAACTGGATCCAGAGGCACCACCCCCCTGGCAAGCATCTCAGGCCCATGAACTTGACCTGGGACCTGGGGGGAGGAAAATGGTTTCTGGGTAAAACTTCTGGTTGGCCTGAACTCATAATCCTCCTGCTTCAGCATCTCAAGTGCTAGGATTGTACGAATGAAGTACTATGCCTGGCCCGGTAAGCTACTTTTAAAATAGGAATTAGAAATATTAAAATAAAGGCTCTAAGTATGCCAATGGATGCTGAAAGGAGGCAGCCAGACCACTTTGTCCCCCTTGTTTCCTTCCTATCATCAGCTACCAAACCCAGAGCGTCACAAATGCCACGCACACACTCTAGAACTGAACTATACTGCCTGTCCCCAGAACTCTTTGAACGAGTCCAGGGGAGCAGGGGAGTGAGAATAAATGCCCCAAACACTCCCAACACTGAGCCTTCTCCTAAGTCTATGCCCTTCTTACACACAACAGGTGCCCTTTTTACCTGCTGTCCTGACAGATCAAGCTCCAAGTCTTCCAGAAGAGTCACGGCTTCCTCTCCGCTGTCCGGCCGGTACTCCTGCAGCCAGACTTGCAGCTCTTTGGGCAGGATGGACAGGAACTGCTCCAGCACCAACAGCTCCAGGATCTGTTCCTTGGTGTTGACTTCGGGTCGAAGCCATTGATGACAAAGTTCCTTTAGTCGATTCAGAGCTTCTCGAGGCCCAAAAGTGTTCTGGTAACAGAAGCGCCTGAACCGCTGGCGGAATACCTCTGGGTCGGGCGGTGGCGTCTCCTGCAGGCTGGAGTCCTGCCCCCACATGTGGTCCTCCTCCTCATCTTCTTCCACCTTCACGATGACTATACCATCCTTCTCCTGTGCAGCCTGTGGGGACAGACCCGTGGCTTCCCTTGACTCAGCAGTCATCATTCAGGCTTGGGGAACTGGTGGGGTCCAACAGGATCAGGCTGGCGTTTCTGTCCCAGCCAACTGTTTTCTATTGGTTTCTGCACTATTCCTAAAGTTAAAAAACAAAAACGAATGAACAGCAGTAAGACATGTTTTAAAAAGTGACCTGGGGGCCGGGCGGTGGTGGCGCACGCCTTTAATCCCAGCACTCGGGAGGCAGAGCCAGGCGGATCTCTGTGAGTTCAAGGCCAGCCTGGGCTACCAAGTGAGTCCTAGGAAAGGCGCAAAGCTACACAGAGAAACCCTGTCTCGAAAAACCAAAAAAAAAAAAAAAAAAAAAAGTGACCTGGGGCAGCGGCGGCACACGCCTTTAATCCCAGCACTCGGGAGGCAGAGCAAGGTTGAAATGAACTCTGTGAGTTCGAGGCCAGCCTGGGCTACAGAGTGAGTTCCAGGAAAGGCACCAAACTACACAGAGAAACTCTGTCTAGGAAAACAACAACAACAACAACAAAACAAAAACAAAAACAAAAAATCCATGCCAACAATAGCCATAAGAATGCTGAAATCAGGGGGCTGGAGAGATGGCTCAGAGGTTATGAGCACTGACTGCTCTTCCAGAGCTCCTGAGTTCAATTCCCAGCACCCACATGGTGGCTCACAACCATCTGTAATGAGATCTGGTGCCCTCTTCTGGCATGCAATCACACATGCTGTATACATAATAAATTTAAAAAAAAAAAAGAAAGAAAAAGAATGCTGAAATCAATGAACTAATGTGAGAAAAAAAGGATTTTAAAAAACACAAAATGTTACATAAAAACAGACATTTTAGGTTGGGGATTTAGCCCAGTGGTAGAGCACTTGCCTAGCAAGCACAAGGCGCTGGGTTCAGTCCTCAGCTTAAAAAAAAAAAAAAAAAAAAAAAAAAAAGTGACCTGGAAGCAGAGAAAAGTGGGTCCTTGGGCTCAAAGGCCTACCTGTCTAGCATTCTCGGTGAGCTCCAGGATAGTGGGGGTGCACACCTTTAATCCCAGCACTCGGGAGGCAGAGGCAGGTGGATCTCTGTGAGTTCAAGGCAAGCCTGGTCTACAGAGTGAGTTCTAGGACAGTCAAGACTACACAAAGAAACCCTGTCTCGAAAAACAAAAACCAAAACCAAACAAAAAACCCAGAACAGAAACAAAAAAAAACAACAGAAAGAAACTGAGGCCGACAGCAATTGAGGGACAACACTCACGGTTGTCCTCTGGCCCCCACATGTACCCACACATACATGAGAATGCTCACATGTGCGCGCATACAAAGTGACTTGTGCTCCTACCCCTTCATACAAGGCCACACATGAAGACACTAAGAATGCCTCTAGACATAAAGGAGAAATCACAGCAGAGCTGCACTGGCCTTGATGTCACTTCTAATATAAAGGTTTTCAAACAGAAGCCTTCAACAGTGGCCTCTACCCTCAGGGTATTTGCCTGCAGTCAGAGCAATGTCCTTCCAGGGAGACAGCAGGTTACAAAATGGAGACATTCTCAATGCCTAGGCCACCGAGTGCCAAGGGCTAGACTAAGCACAGAACAAGTCTGTACATCTACACCCCCCCCAATCCTAGCCGACAAAAAAATATTAGTATCTGTATAGACACGTAACTGAGTTTAGAACGCTTAATATTCTCAGGAGCAGATATGTCCCTGACACTGAAGCCAAACTTGAAGACACAGGACTTGCTGATGTACCATTTAGATCCTTTTAATACTTTCTGAGTGCTGTGGTGGGCCGAAGGCTGCAGCTTCCACACAGACTACAGAAAGCAAGTATCACAGTATCCGTATGTCCAAAGTGAGGGCTGGGGATTGGCACAGGTGGCAGCACATGCCTAGCATGCACACATGAGGCCATGGAATCACTCTACAGCTCTGCATAAACCAGGTATGGCATACACATTTGTAATCCTAGCATTTAGCACCATCAGGAGTTCAAGGTCATCCTTAGGCACGTTCAGAGCCAGTGTAGGATACCCAAGACCCCTTTGAAAGAGAAAGAGAAAGGGTCATGGGAGGAGAGGAAGAACAGAAGGAAAGGGATAGAGGAGGAGAGGGGGAGAAAGGGAAAAGGAGGGGGAGGGGAGGGGAGGAGGAGACAGGGCTTGTAGGAATAGGCAGGTGTAGAAGCCTATAATCTGAGAACTTGAGAGGCAGAGGCAAGAATCATGAATTCAACCTTAGAACAGCTCCAGACCAGCCTGGGCAGCAGGAAGCTATCTTAAAAACAAAAACCAAACACTGGGCATGGTGGTGTACACCTTTAATCCCAGCACTCAGGAGGCAGAGACAGGCAGATCTCTGAGTTCAAGGTCAGCCTGGTCTACAGAGCAAGTTCCAGGACTGCCAAGGCTATACAGAAAAACTCTATCTCAGAAAACCAAAACCAGCTCCCACCCCCACCCCGCAAAAGTGAGATAAATTAAGTCATATTTTAACCTACAAAGAGGTCACTTGGTCTAAATGGTGAGCTGTAACATGTCACATTAGGTACCTTACATCCCAAGGGAAGACCTTCTCCTCTCAACTTGCTTCTTCAGTTTTGGATCCCGTGACATTCCCTTGCATATCTGAGCTATGTTACGCAAAATAACAGATTATTCTATCTGGCTTCACCTCTTCTCTTCATAAGAGAGACTGGCAACTTTAAGGATACGAGGAGACTGTAATCAGAGGATCCATGAGGTAAAAACAAAAGAATGGTACAGCTGAAGCTCCGATGAAGAGAGCAAGGTCTCAGCCACACAAGAGGCAACACCCAATGCCGACCTACACCAAATTAAGAAGCATCAATGACTGGGAAAGCAGGCAGCTTTTAAAAATGTGTGAGCAGGGCTGTGGATATATCTTATTATCAGTGTTTAGTTAGTATGATTAAGGGTCCTATTGTTAAGAAATCCCAACTGCCAAAAAACCAATTATCAATTACCCTGAAAAATCATCTTTTTTTTTTTTTTTTTTTTTTTGAGACTGGGTTTCTCTGTGTAACAGTCCTGGAGCTTGCCTTGAATTCACAGAGATCTGCCTGCCTCTGCCTCTCCAGTGCTGGGATTAAAAGTGTGCACCCACCACTGCCCAGCTCTGGAAACCATCTTTAATATGTACATCCTTTTTGAAAAAAATTATCTGTGTGTATGTGTGCCCTCATGAATTTATGTGCATGACATATGTGCAGGTGCCTGAGGAGGACAGAAGAGAGTACTGGATGCAGATGGGTGTTGGGAATGGGACCTGAGTCCTTGGTGAAAGCAGTAAATGTGGTGATATATTGTGTACCCTAATAAACTCGCCTGAGGATCAAAGGATAGAGCCAGCCACTAGATTAGACATGGAGGTCAGGCAGTGGTGGCACACACCCTTAATCCTGTCACTCGGGAGGCAGAGATCTGTCTGGATCTCTGTGAGTTCTAGGCCACACTGGAAACAGAGCCAGGCAGTGGTGGCACACGCCTTTAATCCCGGGAAGTGATGGCAGGGCGGAGAAAGGTATATAAGGCATGAACAAATAGGAACTCACTCTTTTTAGGCTGAGGATTTCATAGAGGTAAGAACTAGTTAGTGGCTGGCTGTTCTGCGTCTCTGATCTTTCAGCTTTTACCTTGATATCAGGCTCTGGGTTTTTTTGTTTTTTTTTTTAATTAAAAGACCATCTAAGATTTGAACAAGTAAGCACTAAAATTTGGAATCTCAGTGCGTGCACTCTTGAAAAACCTGCAACTACAGGGCTGGAGAGATATCCCTGTAGTTAAGAGCCCTTGTGTGATCATGAGGGTTGGGTTTAGATTTTAGCATCACATCACAAGGTGAGTCTACGTACCTGGCATACACACGAGCAACAGCACACACAAATAAATAAACCTTTAAGAATAACCTGGAACTACTTTCTAGTTCTTTCAATGAAGAATTTCAATGGGAATTTGTCTCACCTGTCCTAGGGACTGCTCAGCTGGTCAGGCCTGGCGGCAAGTACACTTACCTGCTGAGCCAGGTATCTCCCCAGCTTGGAATTGAAGTCTTTAGTAATAATAAGCCCCAACTTTCTGGTGAGTCTGCAAGACCTGATTGCGACTTTTGGAAACCTTAAATGCTCCCCAGCACTTTCAATCTTACACTGGAGGGGCTGGGGAGATGGCTCTGTGGTAAAGTCCTAATTGCCAAGCCCGAGGACACAAGTTCCCTCCCCGGTATCGACATGATAGAAGGAGAAAACCAATTCCTGCAAGCTGTCCTGACCTCCACAAGCACATACTCCACAAACAACCCCCCAACCCCGCACACTTGCTCAATAAATGTAAAATAAAAAAGGAATCAGACTTGGTTAAGGGTACTTCGACTGCGTTTGTCTCTTCTACTATTAAAAATAGGATTTGCAAGCCCACAGTGTTTGCTGTAACACACTATCAGAAATAGTCAATAAACACTAGTTGGATTAGTTTTTAAACAATCATGGAAAATGAAAACAGACTTGCTGAGTATGATGACTGCAATTCTATCTGAACCTACTGGTCTTTGGAAGTATTGTTTTCACTTCTACATATCCATCAAAACTAAAGGATCCCGGGGCCAGCAGGATGGCTCAGTAGGTACAGGCAGTTGCCATTAAGCCTGGTGACCTGAGCTCCTGAAAGGTGTTCTCTGACCTCAACCTCCCCATACTTGATTTGTCTGTACCCAAATAAATAAATAAATGTAACTAAAAAAAAAAAAAAAAAAAGAGCGGGCAGTGGTGGCACACACCTTTAATCTCATCATCAGGAGGTAGAGGTAGGTGGATCTCTTCGGTTCCAGGACAGCCAGGGCTACACAGAGAAACCCTGTGTTGTGTGTGTGTGTGTGTGGCAGGGGGGGAGGGGGTTATTAAAAAAAAAAACACCCAAAAACATGCTAGGGAAACGCTCTTAATACTGAGCCAATACTTTTAAACTAGGAGAGCATTTATAATTACATGGTTTTTACTTAAAAAAATACTCTGATTAGATTTGGTAGAAATGGGATCGTGTACATGTACTAACATAAAAATTATCTTTCAGTGATAATATAACATACTGGTCCTTATAGAGCCGCCGCGGGGCCGCGCTCCGACAAGACAACATGGCGGCGGCGCTGCTGTTGGCTTTGGGCTTCGCGCTCCTGGGCGGCCAAGGCGCCTGCGCTGCGGCGGGCACCATCTTAACCTCCATCAACGACGACGGCTCCAAGACATACCTTACGTGCTCTCTGAACAGCAGTGGCGTCGACATTGTTGGCCACCGCTGGGTGAGAGGTGGCAAGGTACTTCAGGAGGACACGCTACCTGACCTGCAGATGCAGTACACGGTGGACACAGACGACAGCTCTGGGGAATATTCCTGCATCTTCCTTCCCGAGCCCGCCGGCAGGGGTGACATCCTTGTGGAAGGACCACCCCGGATCAAGGTGGGAAAGAAGTCGGAGCATGCCAGTGAGGGAGAGAATGTGAAACTGGTCTGCAAGTCTGACTCATCCCACCCTCCTATCACTCAGTGGACCTGGTTTAAGACCTCTGACTCTGGAGACCAGCTGATCACCAATGGCTCTGAGAGCAAGTACGTCGTGATATCCACAGCGGAGAGATCTGAGCTGACCATCAGCAACCTGGACATGAATAGCGACCCTGGCACCTACATGTGTAACGCCACCAACCCCCAGGGCACTGTCCAGGAGAGGATCACACTGCGTGTGCGAAGCCGCCTGGCTGCCCTCTGGCCCTTCCTGGGCATTGTAGCTGAGGTCCTGGTGTTGATCACTATCATCTTCACTTATGAGAAGCGACGGAAGCCCGACCAGATCCTGGACGAGGATGACCCTGGTGCTGCCCCACTGAAGGGCGCCGAGCATCACACCAAGGACAAGGACAAAATTTGATCCCAACCCAGCGTCTACCTCCACTCCCTGTCCCAACTGTCCCTACCTGAGCCTACCCCCCCACCCCCCACCCCCGGACCTCCTATCCCAACCCGGGTGAAGACAGAACCTCACCTTGCAGAAAGCCCACTTGGAAGAAGCAAGCTGCCCACAGCACCTGTTTCTAGTTTAAACTAAACAAGGTTTCTATGCAGAGAATCCGTTCCTTAGGGGTTTCTGTTGTTTGATTTTTTTTCCCTTCCCTTTTTAAAGTGTGTCACTACAACCCTGTGAAGTGGGGGAGTGGGGTCTTGTCCTTGGCCATGAAGGAGAGGCCAGGGCAAGCTGACTTCTTGGTGGAGGGGGCCACCACCTGCTCCCCTGTATGGGGCTGTCCATCCCCACCATGGGCAACATGGCTGGGCCTGCTGGGACCCCACAAATAGAGACCTACCCCACCACTAAAATAAATAAATAAATAATATAACATACTAAATATCGAGAACAGAACAGGCATGCAACTTTTTGTAGGTAACTGGGTTTAAAAAACCTTAAATTTTATTTGTGTGTACTCATACATGCACATCCCACAGCGAGCTACGGGAGGTCAGAGGACAACTTTCGAGAGTCTCCTTCTACCTACCATGTGAGTCCAGAGGATTGAGCTAAGCCATCACACTAGCTTGCAGTGGCTGTTTTGGTTCAGCAATGTTTTCTTCCCATCCCAATACACACAACATACAAAGGTCAGTGTAGTATTGCCTGAGGACACTTACTTCCTTCAATTACCGTCTGTGAGTCTCTGATTACATCATTTCAGCTTTCAAGGGTCTCCACGGTTAGGACACACTCTACTCCTCTGTTCCAGCCCGACTGCACTCTTCCTGTTAGCAGTACACCCCTTTATTTCTAGTTAATCCAGCCCGACTGCACTCTTCCTGTTAGCAGTATACCCCTTTATTTCTAGTTATGTGGACCAAGCATGGGCCACAATCAGTGTCTTCACTCTGTCAATGTTTCACTCACCCTTCAAGATGCACACTGCCTTCTGATTGTCTAGCTTAAACAAGGAGATGGGGAGTTGGGCTGTACAGGTGGGGAGAACCATCCCTGCTATTTCAGTTCCCCTTCCACCCTCCTCTTCAACAGTGAGCAGCCCTCACCTGCGGGGCCTTAAAACTAACCTTACCTCCTCTGACTCCCCCTCTTCCAACGCACTGACTCTCCCAGAACCAGAATGAATTGTTGTTGTTTTGGTTTTTTGAGACAGGGTTTCTCTGTGTAACAGCTCTGGCTGTCCTGGAACTCAGAGATCAGCCTGCCTCTGCCTCCCAAGTGCTGAAATTAAAGGCACAGGCCACCACCACCCGGCTGAGTGAATTATTTTTTGAGAAAGGGTCATACTACATAGCTCTGGCTGGCCTCCAACTCATTATGTAGCTGAGGATGACCTTTAACTTCCAATCCTCCTGCCTCCACTTCTTGAGTGCTAGGATTACAGGTGTGAGTCATCATATCTGTTTTACGCAGTGCTGGGGATGGAACCCAGGGCTTCACGCCTGCTACATCCATGACACATCCACAACTCTGAGTGAAGTAACTCTTTGTTCGTATTGATTGTTTAGCCCAAGCTCAATTCTGGCTTCTTTGGCTCTCCACTTCTATTTTCTCCCTACCCACCCATAATTTACTTGATTTACTGATGATTTTTCCTAAAACTCCACAGCCCCAGTTGGTGGGCTCCATTTTGTTTCTGCTTCCCCTCCCATCAACCTTCCCACTTCACAAACCCTTCCCCACTCAGCAGAACGACTCTGCCCACTGATCTTGTCCATCACTGATGCTCACCAACACTACAAAAGGAGAGAGAGTAACAGCTAACATTTGCAGGTACCAAATAATACACGGAGCACTCCCTGGACCACATACCAACAGTCTTATGAGACAGCTACGATTATCAGCTTGCTCTGTAATGTGAAAACTGCAGTTTACACACAGTACATGACTCACCTAAGCTCTCAGCGCAAGTAAATACTAGAACAGGCCCTGAAACTAAACCTGTCACAACTCAGGACAAGTTCTATTTTTAATTTATGTTTTTCTTTTTCCAGTATGAGTGTGATGTGCCTGTGTGTAGAAGCCAGAGGTGGACAGTGGATGTATCCCTCAATTGTTCTCCACCTTCCTGAGGCAAGATCTCTCACTTGAACCCAGAGCTTGCTGATTCATCAAGGCTAGCTGGCCAGCTTGCTTTTGGGGATCCTGTTTCCACTTTCTCAAGGGCGTGATTATAGGTTCATGACACACACACACACACACACACACACATCCGTTTTTTTTCGAGACAGGGTTTCTCTGTGTAGCTTTGGAGCCTGTCCTGGAACTCACTTTGTATACCAGGCTGGCCTTGAACTCAGAGATTTGCCTGCCTCTGCCTCCCAAGTGCTGGGATTAAAGGCGTGTGCCACCCCCGCCCGGCTCACCTGGCTTTTTACATGGGTGCTGGGGATCCAACCTCAGACCCTCATGCTTGGACAGCAAACACTTTACCAACTGAGCCATCTCCCCAGTCCCACGTATTAATATTGCTCTTACTTTTGCAGTGCTGGGGGTCAAATGCAGGCCTGGTGCATGCTAAAACCCCTGCCCAAACATTCTTTTAGGAAAATGCATGACGGGAGGGTCAAAAGTCCAAGATCCATTTGTATTACAAAATGAGTTCAAGGACAGCCTGGACAACTTAGTGAGACCCTGTCTTAAATGAAAATCAGACCCAGGTGTGGCGGCACAAACGTAATCACAGCACTTTGGGAAGATGTCAGGAGCTCACTGACATCTTGGGCTACATAAGACATCTTAAAAGCCAAAAAAATGATATCAAAAACACAAAACATGAATAAAACAAATACAAAGTACAAAAAAAGTAGGGCTGTAGTGGCATAGCCCATGAAGTTTTAAGGCCCTGGCTTGAGTCGAACAGTATTTGATTGAATTTACCATGTTACGACTTTTTTGCGTGTTCATTTTCCATTCCACGTTTCTTTAAATTAAACAAATTAACTTAGAAACTCTGAGAAAAGTTTCTGGCACTTAGCAGGCACTGGGGAAGTCTCACTATTTAAAAATGAACTGGATGTAAGGGCTGGATGACACAGCTCCACGGCAGTGCACTTGCCTAGAATACATACGGCCCTGGGTTCAACCTCAGTACAGCAAGACAGAAAACAGGAACGAGCCAGGCGTAGTGGAGCATGCCTATATTCCCTGCACTTTAGAGGTGGAGGCAAGGCCAGCCTGGCCTACATAGTGAATTCGAGGCTGCACAGGGCTATTTGAGAACTGGTTAGAAAACAAAACAAAAAACATTAAAGAAGTAAATTCAAGAGATTTAATCGCAGATTACAATTTTTCAGCCTGCCTAGAAGATTAGCATGGAAGAAATACTGTAACAGTGAAGGCACTGTGTGCTGAACAAATGAATTATATCCCCTGCAAATAAGAAGTCACACATCTGTTGGGTGAGTTACTTAACCAGTCTGGTTTCCGGTATTCTTACTAGCAATGGGGTAGGAACAGAGGGGAGAGGCAGAACCACCTACGAGGTTCCTCTGAGAAACATTCTGACATTGTCATCTCCTTCAGAAAAGATCATAGCCCAGCAACCAGACCTCACCAAAGGAAAACAAATGACTCTCTGACAAGAAAAGACTCGGGGCTCCACACTCCATTTTATTTCAAAAGTTGTTTTCTCAAAATCCAGTGTTTCTTCTATGGCAGAGTCTTGCAAGTTTAAATAAATGATCCTCTGTTTTTGAATATGAAAGAGTTACTCCTTTTTTTTGGTTTTTCGAGACAGGGTTTCTCTGTGTAGCTTTTATTCTTAAAAGATAGCTGGTAGCCTAGTGTGGTGACAAGTGCCTGTAACCCCAGCACTCCGGAGGCAGTAGCTGGAATTCCAAGGTCAACCAGGGCTAGAGAGACCCTTTTTTTTTTTTTTAAGGATACTTAAAGAATGTCAATACCACTGCAGAATGAAAAGCTAAGATTTATAATTTAGTACACTGGACTGGCCTGGTTGAATTTAAATACAGTATAAACCACTTGAAAAATTTTTGAGAGAGTAAGTAGAGAATTAACAAAAGATAACAGTATTTATTAGCAGGCATCTCTGTAATTTAAAAATGGTGAAACTGAATAAAATGAGTGAGGATCTTGTGTAGTAATTCAAAGAGGACACAAACCCGAAGAAACCATCTGGATAAATCTTCACTATAGATCCCTTGTAAAAAAGCTATTTTCCCACATTTGTCCGGCTTTCCTGGCAACTTCACTTGTTGATGTGGTTACAATGAATTCATACTTCAACAAGGATTTATGGACTGCCTCCAGTCTGCCTAGCACTGCCCGTACAATAAATGCTTTCTTTGGTTCCGGGCCATGGAACAGCCACTCTCTATAATCAAAGTGTGTGTGTGTGGTGTGTGTGTGTGTGTGTGTGTGTAAGGAAGGGGAGTGTCAGGTTAAATGATTTGTTGTTTTCAGTTACATTTGACCAACTTCACTCATTTTAATTTGGAAGAGCCTTTCTGAGCAGAGGTAGTTAATTTTACGGATAATAAAACTGACAGTTGACAATTGTCTTATTCAAGGTCATTAAGCTGATCAATCTCCTACTGCCCCAGTGTGGTTCCCAGATACCCTTCACATCTCACTCACTCCAACCAAGCAAAGTGAACTAAAAACTATTTTCTAGACAGCACATTTAAAAAGCTTAAACCAGCAAGGGCTTTTGAAGCATCCCATAAAGCCGAGAGCCGGTGGTTAATTTGTACTACGTCTTTAACCACTGTCAAGCTTCCAGCGCTTTCGCTCAGTGTTGGGAGGTGGAGAGACAGAAAAGCAGGTGATCTGGAAACGTCGGCGGAACCTCAGAACGTGTGCAGAGCTCAAGGTCTTCCGCAGCGTTCATCTGTCTCACTATTCTCAAGGACCCGGGACTGGGGAGTGAAGGACAGCAATAAAACGAAAACCACACACACTTTTCCCTGCAATCACAGCAAATGGCGACGGAGGGAGGGGGAGAAGAATCTAGACACAGGGATCACGTCCACTCGTGATCTCGTCCTCAGAAACGTCATACGAAGATGATGACACGAAAGGGTGCCCCACTGACCCCAGGGTTTCGAGCACCCCCGGAATCCGGCAGGGTTCCTTTCCAAGCCCCCCGGGTGGTCACACGGCCCACCCTCGCGGCCCGCCCGTCCTCGCGAGAGTCCGCCATGAGACTCACCGTGAGTCTCCGGAGTGGCCTGGGGACACCGAGCAACCAAGCACGGCTGACTCCCGGGCTCAACCCGGCCGAAGGGCACCGCACACCAACCTAGGCCCTCCCAAACGCCTCGCCACAGACACAATGACTCACAAAGACCGGAAGTAAGTCAGCACCTCACCTTCCGGGACCGCTCCACGCTTCCGGGTCCTCTCTAGGAACGCGGGAGGACTTGGCATCTCGGTTTCCGAAGCGCTTGCCCTGGAGTCGCCCGCCCTCCCCACCCCCATCCCCAAGCCCTGATTGTCTTCAGTTCCAGAGGCGACAGATGGAGGTGATGGAGTGATTCTGTTCAGGGTGTTCAGTTTTTGTTTTCTTCTCTGTTGCAGTGTCTTCAGCTCTGTATTTGTTACTTTCTCCCCGTCTTTTCCGTCTTAGGCAGTAATTACAGTTATTATCAAGCAATAATAATAGTAATTGTATGTCTGTGGCAGAGGAGCTGAAACAAGGGTGTAGACAGAGGAAGATGGCTGGTTTCACAAATCAGCCCTGGTGAGGTGTGCCAATTGAGTGAGTGGTGTTTTCAAATATTTGGCCCGTGGACAAAAAGGCTTTCAGGTAAACAAGCTACTTACAAGGGTTCGGAGTTTTGCTCATGTAGAGTATGCTATTATAGCAGTTTACAAGGATTTTTTCAGAGGAATCACAGACACTCTTACCTTCAAGGTGTTTTCCTAACCTCAACAATTACCGCCTTCATCTCTTTGCCTTGTGGGCCACGCAGAAATAAGGCTCCTCCTTATATATGATTACATTCCGAGACAAGTCTATAAGAGAGAGACCATACCCAGGAGCTTGAATGCTACTGCTTGGAGAGAGAACTTTATATATAAAAAAATACTCCAAAACTTAAAAGCAATTTCAGTATTGTTTAGGGTAAGTTTCACCCAACAGGAAGCCAGCCAGCCCTGGGAGAAGTAGGAGAAATCTTTATTCACCCATGGACTAGAAACCAGGCTTGTGAGTTGAAGGGTGCAGCCCCCACCCCGTACATTTTCTTACAGCTTTTTGCAGGTTAGGCATCAAGGTTGTCATCCCCATCTCCGTGAACCATTTGAGAGTGGCCTCCAAGTCCCTTAATCAGTAAAGGGAATTTAGTTAGGCATGTTTATAGGGACAGATAGTTACGTAGGTAGATAATAACGTACAAACACTTGGCAGGTAGCAATCAAATATATAGGCATTGGCAAATAACACAGCTTGGCTGGTAAAAGTATTTTTCTCTTAGCAAACATTTCTCTTAGAAATGTTATCTGCAGCATGACCTTTGTGTGCTGGGACAAACTTCCTTTCAGGCAGTTTCTGGCAAGTGTTTGTTTTTCCCAGATAAGAAATAGGGGCTGCTTTTTCTTTTCTTTCTTTTTTCTTTTTTTAACAAGCAAACAGAATTTCTAAGTAAAACTTTAGTTCACTTACAGCTTTTAAGCTAAAGTTTTTATTCAGCTCTCAAAGCATACTGCTGGGTGCATATTACTCCCTATCAGTATCATAAAGGAAATAGCAAAACAGAAAAATAACAACCCACAATCTGTCCAATGTAATACAACTACGGTGAACTGGAAATCATTTTAGATTTAGTTTATTTTATGTGTAGGAGTGTTTTGCCTGTATGCAAATATGCGTGTGTACTATTTGCATACCTGGTACCCATGGAGATCAGAAGACGACATCTGGATCCCCTGGAACTGGAGTTACAGATGGTTGTAAGCTTTCATATGGGTGCTGGGAACTGAACTAGGGTCATCTGCAAGAGTAACCAGTGCTCTTAACCGTGGAACCATCCCTCCACCCCAATACACTGAAATTTTTTAAGGTTTTACTATGTAATCTAGGCTGGCCTGAAACTCAATTTCACCTTGATGTTGTCCCAATTCTGTTATAATCTTTCACATTTATTCAGAAACCAAGAATAAACCAAGTACTAATGTGTTTTTTTTTTTTTCAGTAACTTAAGAGCACTCCTTGCCCTAAGGATGCTACCTGACCATATAACCTTAAGTCAGCACTCATCTCCCTCAGCTGCGGCCACTAGAAAATGAGTAGAATGACATTGCAGTCTCCTTTCCTCTAGGGTGCTTAGTTAGGGTTTCTATTGCTGTGATGAAACACCGAGACCAAAAAGCAAGTTGGGGAGGAAAGGGTTTATCTGCCTTACACTTCCACGTTGGTGTTCATCACTGAAGGAAGCTCCTCTCCCCTGCATCAAGGTTGGACGAGGCATCCCACCATAGGGAGTTGGTTCCAAAAAGCCAGCTCATGCACCAGGGGCAGATCCTGGTCCCATTGCTAGGGGTCCCACAAACAGACGAAGCTACACAACTGTCACCCACATGCAGAGGGCCTGGGTCGGTCCCATGCAGGCTCCCTGGCTGTTGGTTTTGAGTCTGTAAGCTCCCACAAGCTCAAGTCAGCTGTCTCTGTGGGTTGGAACATTATTTTTATTGATATAGGAGGACCCAGCCCACTGTGGGTGGTGCAATCTCTGGGAAGATGGGCCTGGGCTGCGTAAAGAAGGTAACTGAGAGCTGGAGGGATGGCTCAAAGGAGAGACTCACAACTAAAAAGAAAGTTAGCTGGGCAAGCCAGTAAGCAGCATTGTTCTGTTAGTTCCTGCTTCAAGCTCCTGCCTTGAGTTAGTTCCTTTTTATTCCCTTATGTATATAAGTTAAAATAAGCCCTTTCCTCTCCAAGTTGTTTTTGGTCACTATTTTATCACAACAACAGAGAAGTTCATTAGGGCAGCTGGAGATATAGCTCAGTTGTTGAACACTGGCGTAGCTTGAATGTAATTGCTCCCCCATAAGCTCATAGGGAGTGGCACTAATAGGAGGTGTGGCTTTGTTGGAGGAGGTATGGCCTTGTTGGAGGAAGTGTGTCACTGTGGGGGAGGGATTTGAGGATATATATATATATATATATATATATATATATATATATATATATATATATATCTCAAGCTACACCCAGTGTCTCAGACCACTTCCATTGCCTGCAAGTCAAGACGTAGGTCTCTTAGCTCCATCACCAGCACCATGCCTGCCTGCATGCCACCATGTTTCCCACCATGATGATAATGAACTAAACCTCTGAAACTGTAAGCCATGCAACTAAATATTTTCCTTTATAAGAGTTTCTGTGGCCATGGTGTCTCTTCACAGCAATAGAAACTGTAACTAAGACAAACACCAAGGTTCAATCCCAGTAACAAATACCACCACTACCTCCAATCCACTTCTGGGTGTCTGTGAGGACATTTCCATTAGACCAAGAGAGCTCTGACTTAATTAATGGGTAAAGCACTGGTAGATAATCATCAACCAACAGTTTGTTTTATTGTTAATTAACCATAACAATTAATTAATATTATAACTATTCTTTATCATAATTTATTTTCACTTACTCATCTTAGTTTCTTAAGAAAACAATGGAGCCTATAGTCATATGGGGGGAAAAGGACAATGATCCTGGGCCATCAAGATGGCTTCATCAGTAAGGGCACTTGATGCTAAGTCTGATGGCCCGAGTGATGGCAGGAACCCATCGTGGAAGGAAAGACCAACTCTTTCAAGCTATCCTCTGACTTCCACACTTATGCTATGGCGTCACTGCACCCCTTCATAAAATAGTAAATATAAGCAAAGTTTTAAAAAGAGACAACGATCGTATATATAAAACCAAGGGAGATATTTTCATACTGATGTTTTGAGAAAAGCATGTAAGAATATGTTGGTACATGATCCTTGAAGTCATTTCTGTTTCCTCAGAAGACATTACTCATGGTCCTGCAGGAAATAGTGTTCGCAGCCCTGAGGTTCTAGAGCTGTTGGTAAAAGGGCTCAACTAGTGATATCACGAGACTTCCACCCAAGAGTTTTGAAAGAACTCAAGGTGAAAGTGTAGAATCATGAACCATAATGGTTTACAATTACCCAGCGATAGCAATTAAAGTTTGGCTGGTGCCCAAACAAGCCCGAGTTCCTAAAGGGCCCTTGGCAAAGGGAGCCTCCAACTTCCACCAGTGTTGCGAAAGCTGGTGGAGGCACTGCCAAAGGGAAGTGTTCCTGGCTTGTGTGGCCAACACTGCATATTAGAGGCTTCTGGGTTATGTTTCCCCAGGCATCCAGTCACTTTTCCTTCATGAGTTCCATGGGGGTCTCTCCATAGGGCTAGTCGAATTTTGGATTTATGATAAGTTATACAGAAAAAAAAATCTGTGTTTAATTCTACCATGATCATAGAGGCATGAACTGTTGTTACCTTTTACGTTTTTTTGTTTTTTTTAATGCAGGGCTCATGTTGTCCAGGCTGGCCTCAAACTCACCACACACACACACACACACACACACACACACACACACACACACACACACACACAAGCAAACACTTGTGCTGAGACATACAAGCACATATAAATACAAAAAAAAAAAATTAAAAAGGAAGACCATGCTTCCCTTCACAGAGTTACTATGGAATTCTACCTTTCCTCCTCATTTAGGAGTTTAAGGTTGGCATGGTCCTACTGTTCTTCATTCAGGGACTGGAATCCTTACTCCATGGCTGATTGTGATCATTATACTTCTCTGTTCTTTGAGTCTTCAATCACAGGTTAACCACATACAGCAGCGCCTCCTCAGTTTTGCCTGTGGCGAACACTAAATGGCTGAGGAGAGGGAGCCCATGGCATAGGGACACATGTTGGAGCTGGGCTAGAGTCTGGAGAGCAGCTGGAACATTTCTAAGCATTGGAGTAGTAGTAGCTTATTCACCTGGGGGGTCATGACTCCGTTGCAGAGGTTAGTAACCGAATGTGAGGGTCACAGAAATAGGATAGCAGTAAAGGCTTCCTGCATGTGCAGTGGCCAAAGATGAATTCAAAGTCAAACTGGTAATGAACCTGAGATGTTTCAGGAAGCACTTGGCCCTGTTACAGATTTGTTCCACAAAGACCCCTGCTCCTCTGAAACCAGGAACCAAAATAAAGCTTGTCACAGCATTGCAACAGTAACTAGTACACTGTGATTCTGCAACAAGCTGCTGTTTCTTATCTCTGTGATTCCAGCTGGTGATGGGTGCTCCCGGTATTAAGTTCTATTT